TGAGACGCAAAGACACGGCGCGAGGTGGGCTCGTAGAACTGCCAGCCAGGCGCGTCAGGAACAAAGCCAAGGAAAACACAGGGAATGGCGCGAGCGGAGAGCTTGTCCGCAGTAGCATCGTGGAAAAACGCACAAGCACCCCAGACCCGGAAACGCGACGCATCGCCAACTTTCCCCGTCCACAGCAGTGTGGGCGAGGTCTCCGGCAAGGAGACACGGGGCCAGAGGTTGAGCTGATGCGCGGCATACCGGACCGCAAACGGCCACAGAAAATGGGGAGCCGCCGCATGGATCATGGAGGTACGAGCGACCTCCATGACTAAGCCAATGCGGCGCTCAGCAACCCCATTCTGCTGTGGAGAGGCCGGAAGCGTGAACGACTGGGTGATGCCGTGCTCCTCACAGAAGGCTCGCAAGAGGTCGGAGGAGAACTCACCACCTCTATCAGAGTGCAGACGCAAGACAGGAAAGTCCGACTGGAACCGCTCGCGGAGCTGGAGACGAGCAGCGCGGATCCAGGGGATCAAAACAGCAGGGACGTCCCCCTTGCTGCGCAAGGGGAAGACCGTGGTGTAGCGCGTGTAGTCGTCAACTACCAGCAGGAAGTACCGCTCGCGGCCCTACCCCTGGACGCGGGCCGGGCCCCACACGTCCAGGTGGAGAGTCTGCAGTGGAGCCTCTGTGGGAGGGAACGAGGAGGAGTGAGGAGCGGCGCGCTGCCGCCCCTCGACGCAAGGAATGCAGGGAGGCGCAGGCGAGGGAGGGAGGGCAGGGAGAGACCTAAGAAGGCCAGAGACCAGGCAGCGAGAGTGCATGCTACGAAGGCGAGGCAGGGAGAGGCGGTGGTGCCACAGGAGAGTGTCGTGGGACAGGCGGCGGCACTCACACTGGGTGGCAACCTGAGCAGACGCGTACAGCTGTGGAGACAAAGGAGTGTAGCGTGAAACAGTGGTGAGGGTGTACAGACTAGACCCTGGCTCACGTGTGAACGTGGCCAGGTGGCGGCCGGTCTTGGAGCATGTACAGATCGCCACACGCTGTCCTCCAGGAGTCCAGGTGTCAACCCAGTGATCCTGAAGGACGGCGTTGCTCACCAGGTTCGTAGAGAACGAGGGAACATGGAGACCAGACAGCTCACCAGACGGGACCGCTGGGCACGGAAGCACAGTCGTGGCCCGTGCAAGCACTGGACCCCCAGAGGGGTCAGCCAGTGAGATAGGGACAGGTGCAGGGAGGGGGGTGACAGTGGTGCTGTCGTGAAAGAAACAGCGCGAAGCACCAGAGTCAAGTGTGAACGTGTGCAAAGCCTGAGCGGACGCAGTACCAGGGAGAGCAGACTCACTAGCACCTAGGGCTGCAGTCTCTATACCTGGGTCAGGCGGCACACACAAGTAACAGTCACCCTCAGCACTAACAGTCAATGCATACATAGCAGCAAGAATAGCATCATAGTCCAGATCAAAGATAGGAACACCACGCCTAAGCAGATCTGCCCAGTTGGGGAACTCAGTAGCATCAGGATACTTTGCGCGCCAGGCGTCACTAAGCCTAGCGAAGCAGCGGAACTCAGTGTGAAAACCGTCGCAGGTGCGACCCTGGCGGGGACCTGTGCGAATGACATAGGGGCAGCGGTCAGAGCCCTTAGACGCCCCACGCCCAGCATACCAGTCATTGAGCTGCTGGGAGGTGAGAGGCGGACGCTGCTGCTGCTGCTGTGGCTGCTGCTGCTGCTGGCCGCCACCAGCGGCACTCTTCTGGCCAGATCCACCTCCACCCCCACCTCCACCACCAGTGCCGCTGCCTCCTCCCCCACCACCTCCGCTGCTGCCACCACCGCCCCCGGTCCTGCCACCACCCCACCCACCACCTCCACTCCCACGGCCACCCCCACCACCGCCGCCACCCCCGCCGCCTCCACCACCGCCCCCTCCACCGCCACCTCCGCCACCCCTGCCACCCTTGCCGCCCTTGCCTCCGCCGCGCTTTCCACCAAGCGTAGAAGCGGCGTTGACCTTCTCAGCGCCGAGAAGGTCAACAGCAGCAGCAGCAGAGGCATAGGAGGGGGTAAGAGGGGAGGGGGAGCATCCCTCAAAGAGGGGAGTGCGGGGAGTGCCACGAGCAGCATTCACAGCAAGAATGTTCTTCTCAGCTGCAACTAGCTGCTGCTCGAAGTCATCTAGGGTGATGGTGGGAGGGTCTTTGGCGAGGAAGTAGTCCCTAACGGAACGGAGCGTGTCGGGAAGGCGGGTGACTAGGATGTAGAGGGTAAAGTACAGGGGGGGTTTGTTCTCGGCGAGGAACTCGTCAGAGAGAGCGGCACGAAAGCGAGCGTCACTAGCGCGGAGGTGAGAGATGAGGTCTGCAGCAGTGGAAAACGAGGCGAGGTCGGGGAAAAGGTAGGGTAGGATGAGGCTACCAACGGCGGCAGTGGCTGGGGCGGAATAGCGGGCAACTACTGCGTCAAACAGTTCCTTAGCAGTCTTAAGCTGGTTGAAGTGTGCGCGCTCGGAGATAGGCAGGTGGTTGCGAATAGCTAGGCGGGCAAGGGCATCGCGGGTCTGCCATTCAGCGCGTTCAGAGGCAGGAGCAGTAGCAGCGGGAGCAGGGGCAGTGCCATTGACATAGTCTAGCAGAGAGGCTCCGTCCTTGGTATTAGTCAAAAGGTAGAGCTGCAGGTCACTGAGCCAGGTGTCAAACTGAACAGGACTACCGTCAGGCTCAAAGTCGAGAACAGAAATAGTCGCCATGGTCACAGGGCGGGGAAATGCAGCAGGCACAGGCTCAGGCTCAGGCTCAGGCGCAGGCAGCAGGCAGGCTCAGGCAGCAGGCAAAGGCTGCAGGCTCAGGCAGCAGGCAACTGTAGCAGGCTCAGGCAGCAGGCTCAGGCAGCAAGCAAAAGGCTGCAGGCTCAAGCAGCAGACAACTGTAGCAGGCTCAGGCAGCAGGCTCAGGCAGCAGGCAAAGGCTGCAGGCTCAGGCAGCAGGCAACTGTAGCAGGCTCAGGCAGCAGGCAACTGAAGTAGGCTTCGGCAGCAGGCTCAGGCAGCAGGCAAAGACTTTAGGGTAAGGCAGCAGGCAGGCGCAGGTGAGGCAATATGGTGGCGCCGGCAACTGATATCAGGCTTAGGCAGCAGGTAAAGGCTGCAGGCTCAGACAGGAGGCTCAAGGAGCAGGCTCTTAAGGCTGGCAGGCGCTCAAGGCAGGCAGGCGTGCTGCGCACGGGCGGCGGTGGCGCACAGGCAGGGCAGGGCACGCGCGGCTGCGAGCTGCGCGCGGGCTGATAGAGCGCGGCGCGGGCTGTGCGGGCAGTGCGCGAGCTGCGCGCGGGCTGCGCGCGGGCTCGGCGCGGGCTGCGCGGGCGGTGCGCGGGGCAGCTGCAGGCCGCGCGCGGGCTGCGCGGGCTCAGGGCGGGCTGCGCGGGCGACTAGCGGGGCGCGACGCGGCTGGCAGCAGTGGCGCGCGCTAAAAAATAGGCTATGCGCGCGCGCAGCCGAGGCGCGCGCGGGCAGCAGGCAAGGCAGACAGGCAGGCAAGGCTGATAAGGCCGTAGGTGAGGTAACACGGTAACCGGTGGGCCCAAATCTTAGGTCCTAAGACCTACTGCTCTAGATACCATCTTAGAACTTAGGCTAGGAATAAATGAGATTAGGTCAATGGGGGGTACAAGAAATAATATCGAGATAAATTCTGTACCCCCTAGTGCTACCCCACTACAGCCTAGACAACCAACATACAAATATAGTTTGACATGGCTCTGGTCCGGTGTGCTCCCAGAGGGATGGCTCTGGTCCGGTGTGCTCCCAGAGGGATGGCTCTGGTCCGGTGTGCTCCCAAAGGGATGGCTCTGGTCCGGTGCGCTCCCAGAGGGATGGCTCTGGTCCGGTGCGCTCCCCAAGGGATGGCACTGGTCCGGGGCGCTCCCAAAAGGATGGCTATGGTTCGGTGCGCTCCCCAAGGGATGGCACTGGTCCGGTGCGCTCCCAAAAGGATGGCTCTGGTCCGGTGCGCTCTCCAAGGGATGGCTCTGGTCTGGTGCGCTCCAATAGGATGGCTCTGGCGTAAACTTCTGCCAGTTAGAGATCACTCATCTTGTGTTAGGCTTACTTATATATGTATTGTGGGTTAAGAAATCTGTGCACTTGTCCGAGTCAGAACAGTGGTTGAGGGGATGAAGGCAAGCGACAGACACCATAACCAGACATAGACACCAGTGGTTGGGGGGTAACTAGTGCTTGACTAAACAGTATGGAAAAAAAGCTCTGTAGACAGACACCATAAACATGCACAAACTCATCCTGATACTTGTTATGAAGGTGATGCAATCAAGGATGCGAGCACTAGGACTCGGCAGCGATTTGCCAACTAGCGCATGCTGCATCTTGATTCCGTCTTGGTGCATTGGAGAAGAAGCAACAGCAGGTGCAACAAGGCCAGAGCCCCACAGCTGCAGGAGCAAATACTGTGCTCTGCTCCTCACATTCCTGTCTCTTCAGATCAGACCTCAAATCCTATGAGGGTACTGGAGCGGTTAAGTTTCAGAAGTCTCAACACTTGAATGGTTTCAGACCTCAAATGCTGGCCTTGGTACCTCCTGTGTGCACGGGAGCAGCAGCAGCCACGGCAACAAGCACCAGAGCCCCCACAGCAGCAGCTAGGGACGTACCCCACAGCACCAGGGGCGTGTGGGCAGCACACCCCGCCGGCACCTCCCATAGCAACGCCCCTTCCTCCTCCCCCTCCTCCATCTCCTTCCCCCCCTCCTCCCCTCTCTCCTCCTCGTCCCTCCCCTCTCCTGCTGCTGCTTCGGCTCCTTCCAAGTCCCCCCCCAGTCTTGCTGCTCCCCTCAAGCCGTCCGTTTCTACCTTGGCACCTGCTGGTTGTGACGACCATGTGAGCCGCATGGGAAGGCACTCGCACCGAGGTGTAGTGACGGCGGCACAAACTGCTGACGGTGATGCTGCTGCATAATGGTGATGGTGATGGTGATGGTGATTCTGATGCTAATGAGGGCGAATGTGGTGCTGAGGACGGTGGGGATGATGCTGCTGCGGAGGTTGATGAAGGCGAATCTGGGCCGGAGGATGATGGTGCTGATGGGTGCAGAGCGGTTGGTCCCAGGCAGATTGGAGGAGGAGGGAGCACGAGGCATGCGGAAGGCAAGGGCACATAAACTGCAGCGTGTGATTGGCTGCAGCTGCCGGTGATGGCCAGCGTGAGAGAGGAGAGGGCAGAGGGAGAGATGAGAGAGGAGAGAGAGGAGAGGGAGGAGAGGGAGGAGTGGTTCCAGGGAAGTGAGTGAGCGGTGGAGCAGAGGAGGGAGAGAGGGGAGAGCGGCGGAGAGAGAGCTGGCAGCACAGCCTGATGGGGGAAGGAAAGGGGAGAAGGGGAGGTGGTGGATGAGGATTGTCGGTAGCAGAGGCAGTGAGGTGAGGGGTTGAGAAAAAGGGATGCGGTAAGCAACCATTGGAAAAACAATGCGAACAGGATAAGTTTGACAGCTTCTGTTAAAAAAGCATGTTAACTGGAAGGGAGAGTGGTATCAGGTTGCTGGGTGGAAGGGAGAGTGGTAACTGGGTGTGTGAATGGCGGTCCAGATGGTTACAATGTAACAAGGGTTGCAGTAGGCAACAAGACATGCTGCATGAAGGGATAATTTGATGTGGACAATAAGAAGATAGTTGGGAAGAGGAAATGGTGACAGAATAAAAAATGGTCACCGGGTAACGGGAGTGCAGAGGCAGGCTGAACTCCACTGAGAATGAGACTTTGTCTTCCCCCTCACGCACGTCCCCATCCTCCTTCCCCTCCCCCACGCGAACGTCCCTTTCCATCACTGCCACGGTTGCCTCACACCGTGGCGCAGGCTGCTCCAGCTCCACCGGACCTACCACCCAGGCTCGGTCGCCCTCTGGTTTGGAAGTGAACGAGAGGAAGGGGAGGGGGGAAAGGAGGGAGGGAGGGCAGGAGAGGAGAGAGACGAGGCAAAAGGGTGGGGTTTAAAGAAAAAGCCGTATCAGCAGCAACAGCACCATGATTACTGGTGGTCACTATCCCAGTGCGCCCTACCCCCTCCCTGCACACTCTTCCCCCTTTCACTGCGCATGCCCCTTCCTCAACCTGCGCCCTTCCCCCACCCACTTCGCTGCACCCTCCCCTCGGCCTTCACTGGCTGTCGGCCAATTTTGATTGGCCACTTTGAAGCACCACCTCAAGAGGCCTCACTGCGCACTGTGCACTCCTCTTGCCTCCCCCTCCCCCTCCCCCTCCCCCTCCCCCTCCCGCTCTCCTCCCTTCACCACCTCACGCCTTTAAGAACGTCCTCGCCTCGCCTGGTCTCAGAATCCGCTCCACCTGTCAACTGGCCTCACTGCGAACTGCACCCCGCCCATTTCCCCTGCCTCCACTTCATTCTCTCCCCCCCCGTTTTCCTTTACAATCTCAAGCGCCCCCCTCACCTGGTCGAAGGATTCGCTCCAGCTCAAACGGATCGGCGTACAGCCCACGTGGCACGGGTTGCTCCAAACGTATTGTGACACGTGTCCTCCCTGCTGCTCCACTGCTTTCCACGCATTCACTAGCAGCAGTGCAGCTAATGAGCTCTGGAACCGCTCTGCACCCATCTGTCGGCCGCTCCTCCTCTCTGCCGATCGTTCTCCCTCCTTCCGTCTCTATTCCATTTCCATTGTATCCGCGGCTCCCCGTTCTAGTAACGGGCGCTTCTCCGCACGCCACGCGCGCACCGCCTGGATGATTTGGATGGAACAAATCGGCGCGGCATGCCACGTGGAGCGACGTGCGCAGCACGCGGTGCGCCCCGCGGCCTTCGAGGCTCCGCGCGGCGACCCGCGCTGCGCAAGGTGCGGAGGGGAGGCGGGTGGGATGCGGAAGCACGAGCGGCAGGAGGGAGAGGAGCAAGAAAAGGAGCGCAAATCGCGGGGCCATGGCGAACACGGAAGAGACTATGGAGCGATACTTGTTACGGAGCGATATTCAACTAATATAATTGATCCGCAATGCTTCGTGGCGCCGTTCTCCGGCCGAGAACGCGTGTCCCGAAGCGCTGCGACGCGGCACGAATGTTTCCTATAGGCTAGCATACTAAGCTCAGCAATGACATAGTACTAAATCCGTCCGAGTTTCCGTCAGGAAAATTAACTCACTGCATGCACATATATGGCTACATAAATGTGATCAGAACTGGGAAGCACTATCATTTGGAAGCAAGCATTCTGCTCGGTGGGATAAACGCCCTACTTCAGCGGTCTGACGATTATGTGTGCTAGCAGTGGGTAACTTTAGGTTTAGATCGTTTACATTCGGTTCTGACCTCATACACGGTTCTCAACCCCGTAGGTTTGGTGGATTCGAGCGCGGTGGTGACAGGTACAGTGTTGACGGAAGTTATGAATATTGTTGATGTAGCAAGCGGTACCGAATCGGAAGAAATATAAGCCGCAATGCACCACACTGATTCTTCAACAGTACCCATGAAGTGCATCGAAATTAGGGTTACTGTACCATCCCTTCGGGGTCGAGCTTGCACGAATCGCGGACAGCTGACTTGAACATAAACGGGTAGCGGTTACCTCTGCTGCTGATCTATTCACTCCTGTCGCCGCTTTTCCCTCTGCTCGCTATTGTCGCGTCGCACACCTCGCCTCACATCTCGCCGCACTTATCGCCGCACATCTCGCCGCACATCGAGCCATGTTGTTCCACGCGGCGGGCGCGGAGGGAAGTCGGCCGACGTTCTTCGAAATGGCTGCGGCCGATTACCTCCCTGCCTCGCTAAAAGCCGCCGCGCTATACGCTCTAGGGGTGCGATCAACATTACACGGTTATGTCTCCTGATCCCACTTGGGGCAAAAAAAGGGGAAGGGAGGGGGGGTTTACGTGAAAAACTGCCATGTTATTTGGGGGGTTGGGGAAGAGGGGAAGAGGCGGAGCCGGGGAAGCAGACAAGGGGGAGCGGATGGGGCGGAGGGAGGGAGAGTGGGGAGGGGGAGAGTCAGCAGCACTAAGAGGGTATCACCCTCCCAGCTGACTCATGACCAGCTTATTATTGCGTATCACCCTCTTATTCCCTCCCTGCTCTTATCACCATCGCTGCTGCACCATCACCCATGAGCGTGCTGCGATGAACCTCAATGCACACTCCCGCTTCCCTTCCCCTTCCCCCAACAACCCCCCCCTCCCCTCCTCCACCCCTCCACTCCCCTCCACAGGTATTGGCGCAGCACCGCCCGTCGTTGCATCACCTGCTGGGCCACAGCGACGGGCGCTGAGGGCTGCAGGGACCATCGTCTCACTGCGCACTGCCTCTACTTCCCCTCTCCCTTCCCCTCTCCCTTCCCCTCTCCCTTCCCCTCTTCCTTTCACCCACTCAACAGGTGTTGGCACAGCACCGCCCCTCGCTGCACCGCTTTCTGAACCACAGCGACGAGCTCTCTGCTGCTGCCTTGAGTGTGTAAGAGCTGTATCGATGCCCACTTCCACCCTTCTTTTCCCTCTTCTTTTCCCTCTTCCCGTCCCCCTCTGCATGCAGGTGTTGGCACAGCACCGCCCCTCGCTGCACCGCCCGCTGGACCACAGCGACGAGCTCTCTGCAGCTGCCACGAGGGCTGCTGCTTGCTGCACTGGCATTGAGTGCATGACGAGTATGCTGTGCCAATACCTGTCTCACTGCTCACCGCTTCGTCCCTGCCCTTTTCCTCCCCTCCCTTGCCTGGCACTGACAGGTGTTGGCACAGCACCGCCCCTCGCTGCACCGCCCGCTGGACCACAGCGACGAGCTCTCTGCAGCTGCCACGAGGGCTGCTGCTTGCTGCACTGGCATTGAGTGCATGACGAGTATGCTGTGCCAATACCTGTCTCACTGCTCACCGCTTCGTCCCTGCCCTTTTCCTCCCCTCCCTTGCCTGGCACTGACAGGTGTTGGCACAGCACCGTCCCTCGCTGCACCGCCTGCTGGACCACAGTGACGAGCTCTCTGCTGCTGCGCTGCTGCTGCTAGAGTGGCACTCGCTTAAAACACATGGTACTGCACTCTGTACTCGTTATTAGCTCTTGTTGTAGCCATGACAGTCTTCCTCTCTGCATCCCTGAAGTATTACTACCGCCACATTACAACTCTCCCAACTCCCCCCGTGTTCCTGCGGCCCGCTCTTGAGCCTTTCCATGCCGTTCCGTCACCATCGTCATCATCGCTTCGCCCGCCAACTCACCCCTCACTGCTTCCCATTCCTCCAGGCGCCTCCTTTGGCGAGTCCATGTACGGCCTTCGCCGCGTCTCCACCGTTCCCCACCGCCCTTCACCCAGCAAAGCATCGCTAAGGACAGGGGCAGCAGCAGGGGGGGCAGCAGGAGGGGCGGAGGGGGCAGGCAGACGAGAGAGGGTGGCAGGCGGGTCGGCGTCGTACGGCATGTCTCGCAAGCAGCGAGCGCTTTCGCTTCTCTTTCTGGTCAGTTGGAGTTTAGGGTTGGGGTTCTGGTTTGAAGGGGTTGTGGTTGGGGTTCTGGTTTGAAGGGGTTGTGGTTGGGGTTCTGGTTTGAAGGGTTTGTGGTCGGGGTTCTGGTTTGAAGGGTTTGTGGTCGGGGTTCTGGTTTTAAGGGGTTGTGGTTAGGGTTCTGGTTTTAAGGGGTTGTGGTTGGGGTTCTGGTTTTGAGGGGTTGTGGTTGGGGTTCTGGTTTTGAGGGGTTGTGGTTGGGGTTGAAGAGAGTAACGTCTTTGCTGCTGACTTGTAGGTGCCGGCGTGCCGTGAGACATGATGAAGAGGTGGGGTGGTTGATGCAGAGGTGGGTTGGTTGATGCAGAGGTGGGTTGGTTGATGCAGAGGTGGGTTGGTTGATGCAGAGGTGGGTTGGTTGATGCAGAGGTGGGTTGGTTGATGCAGAGGTGGGCTGGTAACTGGTTGATGCTGCAAGCCTGCAACCAACACCCGTTCTTACCCGTTTTCAAACACTCTTCATATGCGTTATTGCACGCCAGGTTTTCCTGCTGTGCCTACACACCAAGCTCCATGCCCTATGTGCTATAATAACCTGTAACGTTACCATCACCCTTTCATCTCTTCACTACACCCCTTACTCTTTAACACATACCAGGCTCTCCTCCTGCCCTACCTGCGCGCCAAGCCGCATGCTCTGCTCTGTTTGCTATAAGCTGTAATCCTACCATTACCCTTCCATCTCTCCACTACACCCCATATCCTCTAACACATAGCAGCAGGTGCTCCTGCCCTACTTGCGAGCCAAGCTGCATGCGTTGTGTGCCATATACCTGTGATGCTGCACCCTGTACCCATCCGTACCCATTCGTCTCTCCACCATACCACACCACCTTTTATTGCACGGCAGGTGCTGCTGCCCTATCTGCGCACCAAGCTGCATGCTCTGTTTGCCGCCCGCCAGAGGCAGAGGCAGGCCCGCGCACTGTGGGTGGGGGGGGATGGGGGAGACGAGGGGTGGGGGGAAGCGGGGGAGGGGGAGTGGGTGACGGGGAGGGAAGGGGGAAATTCGGGACTTGGGCATGGGGATGGGTATGGGGATGAGTATGATGGGGCGATGAGTGGCGGGGAGCGCAGTGAGAGGGGCAGCAGTCCTAGTAGCATGGGTTCTGTTGCTTCACTGCATGGGCGCGAACTGTTAGATGATGGGTTGGGGACTGATGGATTGAGGGAAGAAACGCGAGGGAGAGAAGGTGCGTCAGTAGCAGCAGCAGCAAGAGTCACCGATGGGCGTGCAGAGGGAGGAGCAGGAGAGGAGGAGGCGGACGGGCAAGGGAGGCAGGTGGTGACAGGAGGAGCCGCTGCTGCTGGCTCTTCAGATGCAAGAGGCAGTGGTGGAAGGAGGAGCGGTGCGATTAGCAGCAGCAGGAGCAGTGCGAGGGGCAGCAGGAGGTGGCGGCAGGTGGTGCGTGCGCTGCGGTGGGTGCAGCGACGGGTTGTGAGAGGCGCCGCTGCGGCGTACCCCTGGGTGCAAGCACCGTACGAAGGTGAGTTGGTCTGGGCTGGGTAGGTGAGCATGCCGGCTGGAGTAATAGGCTAGAGCTTGCCCTTTGAAACGAGCTCTGCCTCAGGCTGCTGAGTTGAGAGGTGCTGCTGCCGTGTTACCCCTGGGTGCAGGCGCAATGTGAATGTGAGCTCGTGTGTGTGGGGAGGTGAGCTCGTCTGTGTGGGATGATGAGCAGGTGTGGGCTGGTGAGCATGTCGGCTGGAGTAGGCTAGAGCTCTCATCTAAAAGCAACTTCTGTCTCAGGGTCCTGAGAGGCGCTGTTGCGGCGTACCCCTGGGTGCAAGCACCTTATGAAGGTGAGCTGCGTGGCGCCTGATGACATGTGAAGGTGAGGCGGTTTGAATAGGAGTAGGCTAGAGGTCGCTCTTTGAAACAATCTTTGTCTCAGGCTGATGAGCTGAGAGGTGCCGCGCCGCTGCGGCGTACCCCTGGGTGCAGGCACGATGTGAAGGTGGGCTCGTCTGTGTGGGCTGGTGAGCATGTCAGCTGGAGTAATGGGCTAAAGATTGCTCTTTGAAACAATCTTTGTCTCAGGCTGCTGAGCTGAGAGGCACTGCTGCCGTGTACCCCTGGGTGCAGGCACGATGTGAAGGTGGGCTCGTCTGTGTGGGGTGGTGAGCATGTCAGCTGGAGTAATGGGCTAAAGATTGCTCTTTGAAACAATCTTTGTCTCAGGCTGCTGAGCTGAGAGGCACTGCTGCCGTGTACCCCTGGGTGCCGGCGCCATGTGAAGGTGAGCTTGTTTGGTTTGGTGAACCGGTCTGGAGTGGTGAGCATGCTGGCTGGTGCTCTTCCCCCCACTTCCTCCCCCCAACTAGGTCTGTGTCTGCTCTACCAGCTGCTCTACCAGCTGCTCTACCAGCTGCTCTACCAGCTGCTCTACCCAGCTGCTCTACCCAGCTGCTCTACCAGCTGCTCTACCCAGCTGCTATACCCAGCTGCTCTACCAGCTGCTCTACCCAGCTGCTCTACCCAGCTGCTCTACCAGCTGCTCTACCAGCTGCTCTACCAGCTGCTCTACGTGACAGATGCCACGCCTCGCTACCAACCTTTGTGAGCTCTGTGCCTTGTTCCTCCCTTCCCCCTTCCAACTGCCCCCCATCCCTCCCCGTCCCGCCCGACCAGACTCGTGTCTGCTCTACCAGTTTCTCTACCTGACAAATGCCACGCCTTAATATCAACCTTTGTAAGCTCTGTGCCTTGTCCCTTCTCTTCCCCGCTCCAACCCCTCTTTCCCCCCACCCCACCAGGCCTGTGTCTGCTGTACCAGCTGCTCTACGTCATGGACGCCACGCCGCACTGCTCGCCCATTCTGCACCTCCTCTCCCTCTCGCTGCGCCGAGCCACACCACAGGAGCTGGTGAGCGGCAGTGCATTTCAGTCATCTAAACACACACTCTCCCCTTGACAGAAGATCAAGGGCGTGTCCTCTGTCTCTGCCTCTCCTTCTGTTGCTGCCTCTCCTTTTGAGGCTTGTCAGAGCTCGCTTTTCTGTACAGACAAAGGCACCTTCTTCTATTGAAGAAGTGTTTTGAGACGTCTCAAAAACACCCTCACTGCACGAGACGTCTCAAAACACTTCTGTACAGACAAAGGCACCTTCTTCTTTTCTCTGCCTGTTCCAGCAAGTGGACTCCTGAGGTGCCTCAACTGAATCATTCCTTCCCTTATGAAACATGCAGGCAGAGGCCTCTTCCTCTATCTCCACCCGCCGTCAGGGAGAATGACTTTTGAGTCGACTCAGAGGTCACCTTTCCCGACAAGTGGATTCCTGAGGTGCTTCAATCGAATCATCCCTCCCCTCCCTACTGTGCAGGCAGAGGCCTCTTCCTCTATCGCCACCCGCCGCCAGCGAGAGTTTGGGCGCCTACCTGGGCCACCTGTGATCAGGGTGAGACATTAGGGTAGATTTTGAGTCGACTCAAAATACCCAACCATGCAGGCAGAGGCCTCTTCCTCCATCTCTACCCGCCGTCAGCAGAGTTCGAGCGTCTACCTGGGCCACCTGCCATCCGGGCGAGACATTAGGGTTAATAGCTGCAAAATGGGTGTTCTGTCAGGGTTAGTAGCCTGCAAAGTAGGGTATTATATCCGTAATCGCTCTGGTGTTGTTGTTGTTGTTTCTGCCACTGCTACTGTCTTCGCTGTCACTGCATCCCCTCTTCTTACCCGTCCCTCAGCCCCATGCCCGTCCAAAGCAGGCCGTGCAAGCAGCGCTTCTCAAAGCCCTCTATTTCACCATGGACTATGCCCAGACGTCCGTCATTGCCTTCATGCCCACTGCTGCTGCTGCTACCGCTCTCTTCCTTGTCACTGCTGCATCTCCCCTGCTTGCTACTCTCCTTGCAGGCCGTGCAAGCAGCGCTACTCAAAGCCCTCTATTTCACCATGGACTATGCCCAGACGTCTGTCATTGCTGCTGTCTTTGCCTTCAAGGTACGCCCACTTCAAAAAAAAAGAAGAAAATCACTTTCTTATGAAGCAAACTTCGCCTCTCTGTTCCACGCGGTGTTCAGTCATTTTCTCGGACGAGCTGCAGTCGTGCATTAGGCTTAAGCAAGAGAACAACAGCGGATTCAGTCATTTTTCAGAGGGAAAAAGAACAACAGCAAACTCCACCCCTCCGTTCCCGCTTCTTTTCTTGCGGTTGGCTGCATATCCTAGTAGTCGCCGACATATATTCAGAACTCTAATTCCTCATCAATCAATGTAACCCTCAGGAGAATTATTATGTGGCTCGCGGCTCTTTTCCTGCCATGCCTCATCAGATGTCCAAGCGCTGATGCCCAACGGGTAGTTTGGTTCGGTTTACGACACCTAACAAAGGAGTGTTTGGTGGGTGGTTACCACCAACTGGCGTCCCCCAACTAGATACCTCACAGATCTCCCTGCTAACAGCTCTCTGCCTGACATGCTCTCTTTCTTTCTTCGCTCACAATCCCATCAGATGGCCGAGTGGTGGTATCAGACAGGCGAGCAGAAGCTGAGTGTGTGTTGCCACCATACTGTCTCAACTCACTGCTGACAGCACTCTGCCATGCTGCATTGTTTCCACCCATTCACCCCCACTCATCCCCCATCAGATGGCCGAGTGGTGGTATCAGACAGGCGAGCAGAAGCTCAGCGCTCCCACCATGTACCCTCCGCCACCACCCCCACCACCACCCAAGGCAAGTGCACTTTCTCAAAATGTGACAGTACGACAATAAGCTCAGCGCTCCCACCGTACCCTCCGCTCCGCAGTAACCCCACCAACCCCAGGGCAAGTGCATAAAACGGTCAATCCATTCCCTTCACCCGATTCCCTTACACGCCATTCCTCCAAGCCCATTCCCTTGTAACCCATTTCCCTCAGCCCATTCCCTTGTAATCCACCGCCTTCATCCCTTTCCCTTACAAACCACTCACTTTAGCCCAAACACTTACAAGCCACTCCCTTCTCACCCATTCTCTAATTACTCATTTCTATACAACCCGTTCCCTTCTCTTCCCTTTTGTCTGCCCCCAGGTGGCCCCTGCAGGCATCCTACTGCCTGCTGACGCTCCCTGTGCCTACTCTGCCTCCGCTCTCCTACCAATGCCGTCTATCCCTTTCTCTCTCATTCCCATTCCCTCGTTTCCCTTTCTCTCTCATTCCCATTCCCTCGTTTCCCTTTTTCTCCCTCCAGGTAGCCCCTGCAGGAATACCCGTGCCGACTGACCGCTCTCTGTGTCCGTTCTTTTCACCCATTCCCGTATAGCCCATTCCCTGGTATCCATTTCCCTTGTGCCTCCTGGTGACCCCTGCAGGCATCCCAGTGCCTGCCGATCGCTCCCTGTGTCTACCCCGCCTCTGCCTTTCTTGCCATTCCCCTTCCGCCTTGTCTCCCCCGTCCGTCCTTCATCCCTCCAGGTGGCCCCTGCAGGCATCCCAGTGCCTGCCGATCGCTCCCTTTGTCCGCTCTGCCTGTGCCGCCGCACCAACCCCACCGCCCCTGCCACCTCTGGCTTCATCTTCTGCTACCCCTGCATCTTTGCCTATGTGGATAAGGTTGGTAACCGTGTAACCCAGGCTGTACCTCCGGCTTCCTCTTCTGCTACCCCTGCATCTTTGCCTATGTGGATAAGGTTGGTAACCCTGTAACCCAAGCTGTAACTCCGGGCCTCCGGCTTCATCTTCTGCTGCCCCTGCATCTTTGCATACGTGGACAAGGCAAGTAATCCTGCACCCTGGTAACCCTGTAACGTGTGCTGAATGAAACGATAAGGCATGTGGATAAGGCAAGTGCCAGTGCAATGGCGGAGGATCTTGACTTCACTCCTCGCATGTTATTCACCTCATGCTACCACTGCATTGTTGCTTATGCTGTTTTCTTTCTGCTCATATTCTCCTGTTGCCAAGGTCGAAGGTGGCATTGTTAGAAAACATGCCCAATGCGTTATTTGCCTTTGTGGAATCAACTGTTCTGGGGGCACGAGGTGTCCAATGTGGTTACTTTTGAGTCACTTTGAGTTGACTCAGAAGTCAAAATTCACTTTGAGTCGACTCAAAAATCAAAAGTCACTTTGAGTCGACTCAAGAGTCAAAAGTCACTTTGAGTCAACTCAAGAGTCACTCTGTTATGGGGGCACGAGGTGTGCAATGTGGTGCGCGTGTTGAATCTTGTATTTTAGACCGTTTGAAGCAGCCTCACTTGAGCTCGTCTGTATGTTCCGCAAAAGGGTTGCGTGTGAGATGTTGATTTTGTGTTTTCCTGCTTTCCAACATGGTTTACCTTACTTTGACGCGATCTGTTGTTTCCTCTCTGTTTGCCTCCCCTCTGTGCTGTCTCCCCTCCCCGTTCCTTTTCATATCTGGCAATTACCATCACACCTTGTCTCTCCTCTGCTCTCTTGTTCCTGCATCTCCTCTCCCCCCTCCCTTCCACCATCCTACCAACATCCTCGCTCTCCAGTTCGGTCGCTGCCCCATCACCCACCACCCGACCACTGTGGACCAACTCAGGCGCCTCTTTCCCGATGCATAAGACTCTTACACTGCTGAAAGGTGTTCTTTCCAGCTTATGAGTCGAATCAGAAGACTAGAGACGGTTGCCCCAGTTCCAGCTCGTGAACAACACAAGCACCTCCTTGCCAATGCTCAGTACACTACACTACTAGGCACCAATTCCAGACGCCTATTTGTGAACACATTTGGTAGCACCAGCTCGCTCCACAATGTAGGCAAGAAATTGTGTATTAATGCATTGCAAAAATGCACAACAAAATGAATCGAATCAAGCTCACTATAGGTAAGAAAGTGTCTATTATTTCTTCTACTTAATTTTTATGAATTCTTGACCCCGGTATCATATAGTTGAAGAAACTATTGCTGAGAAAACCACCAAAGCATTAACCCAAAACAAGTCTCACATTGTGAAAACGTTGCAATAATTATGTTTTTTGCAGTAAATGAAACTTGTGAGAACACGTTGTACAGCCTTAAGGCTCGATCAGCATGGCAGTAACGCAACAAGGTAGAACCAGCATGGCAGTAACGCTTCGCGCCACTTGCTGCTTCCGTCGGTAGTGGCGTGGTAGCCACTTGCGCCGTACCGGGCCGCCTTGTCAGGCTATCCACGCACCTGCCGCCAGAAACACAAGCCTTCCTCCCCTCGGCCCTCACTTTCACCTTACCCTGTACACCTAGGCACCGCTATTTTCAACTTCTGACCTTGGCACTGTTCCCGATTTTCATGTAATCCCTGCCCAGCTTTTGGGGTTTTCTGTTAGAAACCTCGTTATAGGGGACTATGAATGACATCAAATGGAGATTTCAATCGGGCGAGTGTAAGACAATTTCGGCTCGTGTGGAGTCTGCTTGTTGTTGCGCATCCCATTGCGTAGCTTTCAGGAGTCAGGAACTAACTCTGCGTAGAGCGTATGACGTCCGACACAACCCTCGGTCAAAAACGTTTTGAAGGGTGCCTACCCCTTTGCACACGTGGGGGTTGAAGATAGACCGAAAGAAAATAGCGGTGGTTAGGTGTACAGTGCGGTGCGGTGCAGTGTGCTTCGTTACGTTACACATGCATCTGCCCTCACATCCCAAGCATGGCGTACACTTGTGGAAGTACTGTACCGTAACAGACCGTACTAAACCACCGTGTGGGCTAGCATGGAGGGTGAAGTGGAGTTGTTGGGCAAAGAGACAGTTGAGTGCCTGATGGGTGCAACAGAGGAGGAAAAGAGCAAGCTTCGAAGAATTTCTGCTGGAGAAGGAATTCGGCCCAGTTTGCTCAGAGACGCAACCAGTCCACTGTCCCACTCGGCCCGCCGTTTCATTCGCACTCACAAGCGAGGCGAATGGGGAGGAGTGGGCTGCTCTAGCATTAACAAGAGAGTCGCGAGTCGTCGCAAGCAGCGATGCCTCTATAGGGACATAATTTCTATTATAGCGAACGGAATTGCAGCACGCGCCGACCGGCTCTGAAGCCCGCCAAAGCCGCGCATTTTCCGCCACGATGCCTTCGCCTCGCGCCGTCGATCCGCCGCCTCGCTATTCGACGATCCCCACCTTCCGCTGCCGCCAGAGCCGTTCCGCCGCCTGCATGCCATCCGCGCGCGCATCGCGCTCCCCTTCCGCTCATTCACCGCCCGCGCACTCCTCCCGTCGTGGCCGCGGTGGGCCTTCCGCCCTTCCGAGGGCTCGGCGCGCAGCATGGCTGGCAGCTGTCGCTGTCGCCGTCGCCGTCGTCGCATTGGTGTCGCCTGCGACTGCTGGGCGACCCAACGTGCTGGATAACTTCCTCCCGCCCTGCCCCACCCTCGCCGAACCTACCGGTGCGCCTCCCCTTCCCTCTGCCCCTCCCCTTTCTCTTCCTTCCCTTACCCCCTCCCATCCCTCTTCCCGCTCCCCTCTTCCTCCCGTCCCCTTCCTCTCTTTTCCGTTCTCCCTCTCCCTCCCCCTCCCCCACCTCCTCCCCCTTCCCCTCTCCCTCATCCCCCCTTCCCACTATCGTCACCACTCCCCCCTAACCTTCCTTTTCCCCCGCTTCCTCGCGTATATTCTGTTCTCCCTCCCTCCCTTTCCCTGTTCTCCCTCCCCATAACACCAGAAATCCCCCTTCCCCCTTTCCCTCTACCCCTCGGCGTACAAGAAGTGGAGCGACCCGGCGACATGGGTAGGCGATGGGTAGGCGGGCCCATCCCCGGCCAAGGCGACGCCGCAGGCGCCAACGTCACCATCCCCTGCGGCGAATCAATTCTGCTCGACACCTCGCCTGCCGCCCTCACTCTCCTCAAACTTCCCCCCACCTCCCTCCACTGTCTACCCCTCACACCCCCCCTTCCCTCCTCTCCCCTACTTCCCTCTCCCCTCTTCCCCCCTCCCTCCCCCGACCAACAATAGCGTACAAGAAGTGGAGCGACCCGGCGACATGGGCAGGCGGGCCCATCCCCGGCCAAGGCGACGCCATCGGCGCCAGCGTCACCATCGCGTGCGGGGAAGCCATTCTCACCCCCCCTGCCCTGCTCCCCTTTCGAGACGTCTCAAAAGTCGTCCCCCCCTGCCCTGCTCCCCTTTCGAGACGTCTCAAAAGTCGCCCCCCCTTCCCTGCTCCCCTCACTCCCCACCAGCGTACAAGAAGTGGAGCGACCCGGCCACGTGGGCAGGCGGGCCCATCCCGGGCCAGGGCGACGCCGCGGGAGCCAACGTAACCATCGCGTGCGGGGAAGCACTCCTCCTCGACTCCTCCCCTATCGCCCTCAACCCACCCACCCCCTTCGCCTTCTTCCCCCCCCCCCCCTCCCCTTCCCTTTCCCCACCAGCGTACAAGAAGTGGAGCGACCCAGCCACATGGGCCCCCGGGCCCATCCCAGGCCAGGGCGACGCTAAGGGAGCCAACGTCACCATCGCGTGCGGGGAGGCCATTCTGCTCGACACCTCCCCCATCGCCCTCACGCTGCTCAACATCCGCGGCTTCCTCCGCGTGCTCGACTCCCCCGCGCTGCCCAAAATCGACCTGTCCGCGGCGTTCATAGTGGTGCAGGGGAATTTTTCCATCGGCACGCCGCAGCAGCACTTCAGGCAGAGGATCAAGATCACGCTCACGCCTAATCCCAACAACAGGGCGGATTATCTGTTCACCGAGAACCTTCCAGCGGAGCCCGCGTTTCCACGGAATCTCGGGCACAAGGCGTTCGCCGTGGTGAGTGAGTGAGTGAGTGGCTTTCTGTTGTCGACGGGTTGTCCTCCTCATTCCCCGCAAGGTCGCCTAATCCGAACAACAGGGCGGAGTCTATGTTCACCGAGAACCTTCCTGCGGAGCCAGCGTGTCCGCGGAATCTCGGGCACAGGGCGTTTGCTGTGGTGAGAGGTGCTTCTCCCCGGCTCTCTCCATCTCTGTTCCGCTACCCCGCCTCTCACTCTCCTCCCTACCCTCCTCACTCCCCACTCCCCATTCCCGTCTCAATCCCCTTTCCCCTCCCGCCCTCCTCCCCCCATACCCCGCTCCAATCGAAGGACCCTCGTAGGTGGGCACTTGGGTGATTTTTTACGCCCTGATAAATATTCCTCTGTTGTTTTCCCTTTCTCTCCCTTGCATGATGATTGTTCCGTACCCCTTTGCCTGTTGCTGTCAGGTGGGCGGCCAGGTGGATTTCCACGGCATGCCAGGTGGCAGCAACACGCCCGCGTGGACGAAGCTGACGGCGACAGCTCAGCCCAACGACCTGGTGATTACAGTGCAGGATGACGTCAGCGCGTGGCCTCAGGACGCCTTCGTTGTTGTCACATCCACCGACTACTTCCCCGACCAGGCCGAAGTCGTGGGGATCATCGATGGTGAGTAAGGTGGGGGTGTGGAGATCATTGTTGGTGAGTGGGAATGAACCAACCAGTCCTGTCGGGCAGAGTGGGCGAGGCGTATGTAAGGGATGTGGGGCATATTTGGCAGTGTGTGTGTGGTGGGGGGGGGGTTCGTTGTTGTCACATCCACCAACTGCTTCCCGACCAGGCTGAGGTCGTGGGGATCATTGATGGTGCGTTGGGGGGCCATGGGTGGAGGATGGGGGTAGATAACACCGTCCTGTGGGACACATTTGGGAGTGTTTGTGTTTGTGTTTGTGTTTGTGTTTGTGGGGGATAGCTGGCGTCAAGAAGTTGTTTCGAGAAGCCTCTCTGCCTGACCCATCTTCCCGCCTTCCCCACCTCCCTCCTCCAACCCTCTCCCTCCCTCCAGTGATGGCCCTCCTTTCGGGCAGCTCAAGACGTGTTTTTTTTTCAAGAAGCCTCTCTGCCTGACCCACTTCGCCTTTTGCGGCGCCTCATAAGTTTATATACATATATATGTCAAGAAGCTTCTCTGCCTGACCTGTTTGAAAGGCCCCAAGCCGTGCTCACACCCACCATCCGGACTCCTCCCTCTCTCCCCCCCCCTCCCCTCCAGCGGCTCAAAAATCTTTCTTGAGAAACCGCTCTGGCTGATGCACTTTGGAGATCCCAAGGGCGTGCTTGACCAGAACCGCTCACCATGCTCCCTGTCCCGAATTCTCTCTCCCTTACCCTCCTCCCACCGTCCCCTTTCGCCAGTGGTGGCCCTCCCTTCGGGCGGCTCGAAAATCTTCCTTGAAAAGCCGCTCCGCCTGATGCACTTCGGAGATCCCAAGGGCGTGCCGGACGGCTTCGGGGGCTTCGTGGACCAACGGGCCGAAGTGGCCCTCCTCAACCGCACCATCGCCATCACGGGAACAGACGAGCCTGCGCCGTACCACCGGGAGGGCGGCCACTTCATGATCTTTATGAGCAACACTCCGCAGTTTATAGAGGGCGTGGAGTTTGCGCAGATGGGGCAGCAGGGGAAGCTGGGGCGGTATAACATTCATTTTCACGTGTGCGGGGATGATGGCGGGCGGAGCGTTGTGCGGAAGAACGTGATGCATGACAGCAAGCAGGTGAGAGGGGGGTGGGAGGCAGGTGAGGGGTGGGTGTGAGTGAGCAGGGGAAGCTGGGGCGGTATAACATTCATTTTCACGTGTGCGGGGATGACGGTGGGCGGAGCGTTGTGCGGAAGAACGTGATGCATGACAGCAAACAAGTGAGGGAGGGGTGGTGGTGGTGGTGGTGGGGAGTGGGTGAGAGAGAAGCAGGTAGTGGGAAGCAGGTGAGGGAAGGGTGGTTGCAAGCAGGGCCAGCTGGGACGGTATAATATCCATCCAATTTTCACGTGTGCCGGGATATGCTCTTTGCTTTTGAGACGTCTCAAAACTTTTCACGTGTGGCGGGATGTGCTCTTTGCTCTTTGCGTCCCTCCCCCCCAGCGCTGTGTGGTGGTGCACACAACGTGCAACCTGACGATGGAAGAGAACGTGGCATACCACACGAGGGGGCACTGCTTCATGGTGGAGGAAGGGGGGGGGTGAGACCGGCAACACAAACACCCTCCGTGCTCTCATCCTATGCTCTTTGCTCTCTTCCTCGTCTCCTCCCCTTCCCACCAGCGCTGTGTGGTGGTGCACACGACCTTCAATCTGACAGTCGAAGAAAATGTGGCATACCACACGAGGGGGCACTGCTTCATGGTGGAGGAGGGTGGGGAGACCGACAACACCTTCCTGCGCAACCTCGGCATCTGGACTCGTGCAGGTGCGCTGAATCTGGACACAAGCAGGTGTGCTGAATCTGGACAAGAGCAGGTGCGGTGAATCTGGACAAGAGCAGGAGCGACGAATCTGAACCCCACCCAGACGGAGAAGACGGACGACAACCGTCTCCCTTCTCACCAACCAGACACCCTCCTCTCCTGGTCCTCCTCTCCTGCCCTCCTCTCCTGCCCTCCTCTCCTGCCCTCCTCTCCTGCACTCCTCTCCTGCCCTCCTCTCCTGCCCTCCTCTCCTGCCCTCCTCTCCTGCCCTCCTCTCCTGCCCTCCTCTCCTGCCCTCCTCTCCTGCCCTCCTCTCCTGCCCTCCTCTCCTGGCCTCCTCTCCTGCCCTCCTCCCCTGGCCTCCTCCCCTGCCCTCCTCTCCTGCCCTCCTCTCCTGCCCTCCTCTCCTGCCCTCCTCTCCTGCCCTCCTCTCCTGCCCTCCTCTCCTGCCCTCCTCTCCTGCCCTCCTCTCCTGCCCTCCTCTCCTGCCCTCCTCTCCTGCCCTCCTCTCCTGCCCTCCTCTCCTGCCCTCCTCTCCTGCCCTCCTCTCCTGCCCTCCTCTCCTGCCCTCCTCTCCTGCCCTCCTCTCCTGCCCTCCTCTCCTGCCCTCCTCTCCTGTCCTCCTCTCCTGCCCTCCTCTCCTGCCCTCCTCTCCTGCCCTCCTCTCCTGCCCTCCTCTCCTGCCCTCCTCTCCTGCCCTCCTCTCCTGCCCTCCTCTCCTGCCCTCCTCTCCTGCCCTCCTCTCCTGCCCTCCTCTCCTGCCCTCCTCTCCTGCCCTCCTCTCCTGCCCTCCTCTCCTGCCCTCCTCTCCTGCCCTCCTCTCCTGCCCTCCTCTCCTGCCCTCCTCTCCTGCCCTCCTCTCCTGCCCTCCTCTCCTGCCCTCCTCTCCTGCCCTCCTCTCCTGCCCTCCTCTCCTGCCCTCCTCTCCTGCCCTCCTCTCCTGCCCTCCTCTCCTGCCCTCCTCTCCTGCCCTCCTCTCCTGCCCTCCTCTCCTGCCCTCCTCTCCTGCCCTCCTCTCCTGCCCTCCTCTCCTGCCCTCCTCTCCGGCCCTGCTCCCCCCTTTTTTCTCTCCACCCCTTCCCCCTCTCTTCCCCCCCTCGCCCTATCAGTGGAAGCTCACATTCTCCTCTAGCATCTAACCCCGCCAGGGTGGAGGAGGAGGATGACAGCTTGTCGCGTCACCCTCCTCCTCATGTGCGCCTCTCCTTCTCATGTGCGCCTCTCTTAACCGTTGACCCTTCTCTCCTCTCCTCATCCCTCCCACTCCTCTCCTCATCCCTCCCCCTTCTCCTACAAGTGGAGCTGCTCATCCCGCTCGCATCCAACCCCTTCAAAACAGAAAAGACAGGCGACAACCCGGCCACATTCTCACCTACCATACACGCTTCTCTGCCCCCCCTCTCCTCCCCCTTCCCTTCCTCTCGCTCCATTCCCAACAATGAAGGTCCTCATCCCGCTTTCATCTGACCCATCCAAGACGGAGAAGGCAGTCTCGCCTACCTACACGCTTCTCTGCTCTCCCTCCTCCCCTTTCCTCCCTCGCCCTTCCTCCCTTTCCCCCCCGACAGTGGAGCTGCTCATCCCGCTGTCAGCAGCCAACCCCACAAAGACCGAGGAGAAGGACGATGCCCCGTCCCGTCCACCTTCCAGATCACCCAGTGCTCTCTCCCCACTACCAACCCATCCCCCCTTCTCCCCTCCCTCAGTGGAGGTGCTCATTCCGCTGTCAGCAGCCGACCCCACCAAGACCGAGGAGACGGACGACAACCCGTCCACGTTTTGGATCACCAACCCCAACAACAACCTCATTGGGAACGTCGCCGCTGGCTCTGAGAACTCAGGGTAAGTTGCTTCTGCTTTTCTCTGCGCATGTGAATCTCTGGAGCATTGACAGTTCATGTACACGTTTGATCACCAACCCCAACAATAACTTCATTGGGAACGTCGCCGCTGGTTCTGAGAGCTCAGGGTATGTTGTACTGCTTTTCTCTGCTGTTGTTGGGGTTGCGCTCGTGTGACTTTAGACGGGTGGGTGGGGAGCAAGTAGCCCATCATTGCAGGCGGGGCGGAGCATCAACAGTACTTGTTTTGTACCTTCTGGATCACCAGCCCCAACAACAACAACCTCATTGGGAACGTCGCTTCTGGCTCTGAAAACTCGGGGTGGGCTGTGAGTCCGTGGGGGTTGTGAGCTCGTGAGAGTGTGACTGTGAGCGTGTTGGGACAGACAGATAAAGTGATTGGTTGATACGGATATGGACGGGAAGGAACGACCTTTCTTGGATGCTGCCCTTCCTCCCTCGCTTCCGACCGGGGGCTCTAACGCCACAGTCCCAGCCAACAGTCCCTTTGGCATCTATCTACCTGCCTAGCTCCTTATCCCTTGTCTCCCCTGATCCCTTGTTCCCTCCCCTCCCCTCCCCCCCTCTCCGCTCCTCGCAACATTAACCAGCTATTGGATGGAGCTGAGGGACAGGGTGCGCGGGCGCACCCTCTCCCGTCCTTGGCCGAATGCCACCGTCCCCACCAGCGGCCCCTCCAGCATCGACCCCTCTTTCTCCGTGTCCCTTGTCTTCCCTTACCCGTCCTTTGCCCCCTCTTCCCCCCTTCCCCTCAACCAGCTTCTGGATGGAGCTGAGGGACAGGGTGCGCGGGCTCACCCTCTCCTACCCCGGGCTCAACGCCATGCCCGCGAGTGCCCCCTTTTGCATCCAACTCTTCCCTCCCTCACTCCATACCCCTTTGCTCCTCCTCTTCCCCCACCCAGCTTCTGGATGGAGCTGAGGGACAGGGTGCGCGGCTTCACCCTCTCCTACCCCGGGCTCAACACCACAGTCCCCGCCAACGGCCCCTTTGGCATCTACCGGGATAACGTGGCTCACAGCAACAGAGGGCCAGGGTGGAGGACGTATCCCAAGGGGGTGCGACCCAGGCAAACCTGGTCCCTGGACTCTCCCATCCCCCAGGTAAGGGGGAAGGTGGGGGAAAAACACATGTTCTCAGCCCAGGTAATACCTGAGTCGAATCAACACCACAGTCCCCGCCAATGGCCCCTTAGGCATCTACCGTGGCAACGTAGCTCACAGCAACCGAGGGCCGGGATGGAGGACGTATCCGAAGGGGGTGCGACCCTAGCAAATGTGATCTCTTGACTCTCCTATCCCCCCCAGGTAAGAGATTGTAAGAGCAAGGGAGGAGCAAGGGAGGAGCAAGGGAGGAGCAAGGGAGGAGCAAGGGAGGAGCAAGGGAGGAGCAAGGGAGGAGCAAGGGAGGAGCAAGGGAGGAGCAAGGGAGGGAGTAAGCAATGCCATATGCACGTGGTTCACACACACAATGCACGTGCTGCATGTGCTGCATTGCTTGCACGTGCATGCCTTGTGAGCGATGTTTGAGAATGATCGAAAACATGACTCATACGCGTACATGTACATGCACATCCCCCACACAGTCCACTCTTTCCTTGCCCAACCGCAGTGGCAGTGGAAGCATGCCATGGGCACGGCACCATCAGTGCGTTGATGCTCGTCTGTGCAATGCATGTGTGTGTGTGTGTGTGTGTGTGTGTGTGTGTGTGTGTGTGTGCGCACGCGCGCATATGTGCATGCATACATACGTGTGTATCCACACAGTCCACCCCACCACCACACACCACCACCTGCAGTGGCAGTGGCAGCCCTGTACGGACACCATCAGCGGACTGTTAAAACACCTCCTTCGCCTCTCCCCATACCCCCCCCACACCCCTTCTACCACCACCCGCAGTGGCAGTGGAAGCCCTCTACAGGCACCATCAGCGGGCGGCTGCTCTCTTACTTGCACAATGCACATGGCCATAACGCATGTGTGTGTGTATGCGCTTACTCCCGCACGCCCACACCCTCTCACACCACCCGCAGTGGCAGTGGAAGCCCTCTACAGGCACCATCAGCGGGCTGCTGTTATCTTACTTGCACAATGCACATGGCCATAACGCATGTGTGTGTGTATGCGCACTCCCGCACGCCCACACCCTCTCACACCACCCGCAGTGGCAGTGGAAGCCGTCTACAGGCACCATCAGTGGGCTGCTTCTCTACAAGCAATCCGGAGACGGGTGAGTGAGAGTGGTATAAGGGACAGCTAGCGGGCGTGTGGCGTGGCGTGCCTCCGTCCCTTTTGAGAATTCCTGTTTCAACAGGCCCATGCTTAGTTGCCTTGACCATCCCCTGCTGCACCTGTTGCCTTGACCATCCCCTGCTGCACCTGTTGCCTTGACCATCCCCTGCTGCACCTGTTGCCTTGACCATCCCCTGCTGCACCTGTTGCCTTGACCATCCCCTGCTGCACCTGTTTCCGTATGGACAGTTGAGTTGGTTGAGAGAGTATCAGCATTTCCCACCAACCCCCCCTCTCCACTCTTTCCCCGCATCCTCCCACTCCCCGCCCCTCCCAGTTTGTTCGTGCACAATTCAGACAGTCTCATAATCACCAACAGCACGTTTGCTGACAACCGGCAGGGAGTGAACCTGCTGGGGAACACGGGCGTGAGGGTGACTGAGAGCCGGTTCATTGGGGTGACCCCCAACTATGGCAACCCACGCATGTGTGACTCCACGCCTCAGATGTGTGGCCCTGTGGCCGGCTGCGAGTGAGTATAGCCTTAGATGGGAGGGTTTCAGTGAGTATTGGGATGGAGCAGAGGGAGCGAGGGAGCAGGGAGCAGACTGACGGTGACAGACAGCCGGTTCATTGGGGTGACTCCCAACTACGGCAACCCACGCATGTGTGACTCCACGCCTCAGATGTGTGGGCCTGTAGCCGGCTGCGAGTGAGTGCTTACTGCGGGGGCAGAGGGATTGAGGAAGCGGAGGGAGTGGAGGGAGTGAGGGAGCAGAGGGAGTGAGGGAGTAAGGCAGCAGAGGGAGTAAGGCAGCAGAGGGAGTGAGGGAGTAAGGCAGCAGAGGGAGTGAGGGAGTAAGGCAGCAGAGGGAGTGAGGGAGTAAGGCAGCAGAGGGAGTGAGGGACGCAGCAAAGTGAAGCTAGCAAGCATATGACTCAAAGCTCATAATCTCATGCATGTCTTTGCCCAAACCAAAAACCTTGATGCAGCTTCCCCCTGGACCCCGGCAGCAGGGGTGGTCGCAGGGGTGGTCGCAGGGGTGGTCGCATTGGAAGGACCCCATCTATGGCATCATACTCATCATTCCATGTGCTGTGCTCGTGTGTGGGCAATGGGCATGTGGGTTCGTGTGCTTCCCCCGTGCAGCTTCCCCCTGGCTGTTGGGCAGCAGGGGCGGTCGCAGGGGTGGTCGCATTGGAAGAACCCCATCTTCGGCATCATCATCGACCATCCCACCTTCGGATTCGACTTTGCCCGCGCCCACGCCATCTCCAACTGCCGGTGAGGGGCCTGAAAAGCTTTTTTCCCACCCCCCTACCCGTCTGCTCCCCTGATGTGTTTCATTAACTACCCACATCAACCTCCTTCCTGGAATTCCTAAAATTACATCTTTCAATGACCTCTTTCCCCCCATCTCACCTCACCACACCCCTGTGCACCTCAACCCACGGCACTCCACTCCACCTGACCTTACCGCACTGTACCCCTGTGCAGGTTCCACGCGTTTGACAGCACGTGCCGCCCAGCTGCTGCCATCGGCGCGGGCATCAACGGAGGTCCCAAGGACACGTGGGCCACGGCCACCAGCGTGCAGGTGAGATGAGATGGGCGCCACATACATGCATGCAACATGGTCGTTCACCTCTCTCACTGCATGGCTGTTGCCGCTATGAGCACTGTGCGCCTTCCTGCTGCTGCCATTGGCGTGCAGGTGAGATGAGATGATCATGAGATTGTTGCTGTCTGGCTGCTGCCTGCGCCTTACTATGTTATGTGCCCCTTCACTCGTGGCGTGGCCGCACTACTGGTAGAGACATACTTGCTTCCCTTGCTTACTTGTTGTTTCTTGCTTACCCCTGTGCTGTGCCTGCCCGTCCCTCTCATCGCACCAGTGCCAGCCACTGACCTCCCTCTCCTCCTCACCCACATTTCTCCGCCCCTCCATGCCCCCACCCCTCTCATCCCACCCCACTCAACCCATCCCAACCCATAATGGCATGGCAGGCTGTGACAGGCACGCCAGGCACCAACATGCTCTTCTTCCCGCCCCGCAACTTCACCTTTCCCGTGAGTGCTGCTTGGACACACGTGGTTCAGTTCTGCTACCAACACACCTGTACACACCTCTACACCCTGTGGGATCGTGATGGATCTCTTCTCAATTCCTCCTCCGGAGGCTACTTCCTGATCGACAACTCCGCTCTGCTGCCGCCCACCGCTCTGCTGCCGCACAAGAGGGCCCTTCTTCCCCCTTTTCACTGCGTCTTACCCGCCTCCCCCCACCCTCACAGGGCGGTGACGTGAACCTGGGCGGAGAGGCAACGGACCTCTACACCCTGTGGGACAAAGACGGCTCTCTTCTCAACGCCACTTCAGGAGGCTACCTACTGGCCAACAACACCGCTCTGCTGCCACCCACCAAGCGCTTCCCTGCTTGCCAGCCCGTGCCTGCTTGGAACGCCTATGCGTGCCGAGGCACGTGCTATCGCACCGTCATGTTCACTTACTTGGAGCCGGGGTTTGCAGTGTATGAGAACAGCAGCGTGCCCGACACACGCAAGCGAGGCGACTTCAGGTAAGAGGCAGAGAAATGAGGGGGGCAATTAATTCTTATCCGTACCACATGATGCCCCTTCTCAGATCCCTGCACATTTTATCCTCGTTCTACCCTCTTGCTATCCTTTCCCCACCCGGCTACCTCGCCATTCGCCGCTTAGAGGACGACTCAGTGATCGCAGTGGACGGCAATCTGCGGTCGGTGGGCAACATTTGATACCTCTCATATATTCCTGCATTTCTTATCCTCGTTCTACCCCTCTGCTTCCTTCTCTGTCTCTCCCCACCCTTCCAGCTACCTCGCCATTCGCCGCATAGAGGACGACACAGTGATCACAGTGGACGGCAATCTACGGTCGGTGGGCAACATGTGGACGGCAGGGCAGCGCATATTCGTGGTGCCCCTGCTGGCGAACGCCACGTACGAGGTCAACGTAGGGTTACCGCGTAACAACCGCGCCTTCTTCCCCAGCAACATCACGGTGCAAGTGCGCGACAGCAACGGATGCAGCGGGCCCGTGACTCTGAGGATTCCGGCGAAGCAGAGCAACCAGTGGATGATCAGAGAGGAGCAAGACGTGAACTGGAAGTGAGTAATGCTCATGGTGGTGCTGGTGTTGCTGCTACTGTTTGTTGCTGCTGTGGTCATATGATGCATGATCAGCCACCCCGGTGACTCTGAGGATCCCCGCGAGGCAGAGCAACCAGTGAAAGATTTTTGAGGAGCAAGACTTTTGAGAATTCTCAAAAGTGAACTGGGAGTGAGTAATGCTCGTGCTGGTGTCGCTTCTAGTGCTGGTGTTGCTTCTAGTGCTGGTGTTGCTTCTAGTGCTGGTGTTGCTTCTAGTGCTGGTGTTGCTTCTAGTGCTGGTGTTGCTTCTAGTGCTGGTGTTGCTTCTAGTGCTGGTGTTGCTTCTAGTGCTGGTGTTGCTTCTAGTGCTGGTGTTGCTTCTAGTGCTGGTGTTGCTTCTAGTGCTGGTGTTGCTTCTAGTGCTGGTGTTGCTTCTAGTGCTGGTGTTGCTTCTAGTGCTGGTGTTGCTTCTAGTGCTGGTGTTGCTTCTAGTGCTGGTGTTGCTTCTAGTGCTGGTGTTGCTTCTAGTGCTGGTGTTGCTTCTAGTGCTGGTGTTGCTTCTAGTGCTGGTGTTGCTTCTAGTGCTGGTGTTGCTTCTAGTGCTGGTGTTGTTTCTAGTGCCGGTGCTGCTTCTAGTGCTGGTGCTGCTAGTGCTCAAGTCGCCATTTTTCTCACTCCACCTGCCCTCATCTCTCCCCTTCCCCACCATGCTCCAGGGCCTGTCCCGGCACATCAGACAGGGCAGCGGTGCAGTTTTCATTCGTGTGCTTCAAGATCAAGCCCGCCCTCGAGCTCTCTTTCGACGGAACCTACTCCAAGCCCATTGTGCTTCAAATGCCCTCCCACCTGCACCCGCCCCTCCTTCTCCCTCTCCCAGAGCCTGCGCTGGCACGGCAGGCAAGGCAGCGGTGCAGATCTCATTTGTGTGCTTCAAGATCAAGCCCACCCTCGAGCTCTCTTTCGACGGAACCTACTCCAAGCCCATTGTGCTTCAAATGCCCACCCACCCGCACCCGCCCCTCCTTCTCCCTCTCCCAGAGCCTGCGCTGGCACGGCAGACAAGGCAGCGGTGCAGTTTTCATTCGTGTGCTTCAAGATCAAGCCCACCCTCGAGCTCTCTTTCGACGGAACCTACTCCAAGCCCATTGTGCTTCAAATGCCCACCCACCCGCACCCGCCCCTCCTTCTCCCTCTCCCAGAGCCTGCGCTGGCACGGCAGACAAGGCAGCGGTGCAGTTCTCATTCGTGTGCTTCAAGATCAAGCCCACCCTCGAGCTCTCTTTCGACGGAACCTACTCCAAGCCCATTGTGCTTCAAATGCCCACCCACCCGCACCCACCCCTCCTTCTCCCTCTCCCAGAGCCTGCGCTGGCACGGCAGACAAGGCGCGGTGCAGTTCTCATTCGTGTGCTTCAAGTTCAAGCCCACCCTCGAGCTCTCTTTCGATGGAACCTACTCCAAGCCCGTCGTGCTCCGCGCCTCCGCCGACCCTGTCACCGGTTGCCGCCTCCCCTAGTAAGTGCCTCCCCGAAAATTTGCCCTGCATGCAGCAGTCATGCTTCTTCTCCTCACTCTTTCTTGTCATCCCCCCTGCCACTCCCCCCTTCTCCACCCACCACCAGTCGCTGCGGCCTCGTGGCACCGGGGTCCACATGGGCGTACGACGTGAGCGGCAGGGAGCTGCACGCAGCAGTGACGGGCGCCATGGGCTTCAGCTCGCCTCGTTTCAACGACGCCTCCTGGCCCCGAGGCCCGGCCATCATAGGCTATGTGGGATGTACGTGCGTGTGAGGGTGTGGGCATGGGGGTGCAGCCTGTCGGCGTGAGGGGGTGTGGGCATGGGGATGCAGCCTGTCGGTGTGAGGGGGTGTGGGCATGGGGGTGCAGCCTGTCGGCGTGAGGGGGTGTGGGCATGGGGGTGCAGCCTGTCGGCGTGAGGGGGTGTGGGCATGGGGGTGCAGCCTGTCGGCGTGTGGGTAAAGCCGTGGAGGTACAGTACAGACAGACACGGGCGCCATTGTGACGGGCGCCATGGGCTTCAGCTCTCCGCGTTTCAATGAAGCTTCCTGGCCCAGGGGACCGGCTACCATAGGCTATGCTGGATGTACGTGTGTGGGGATGCAGTGTGTGGGTGAAGGAATGGGAAACAGCTAGCTTTAAGGACGCTTCCTGGCCCAGGGGACCGGCTATCATAGGCTATGCTGGATGTACGTGTGTGGGTGGCATGCGGGTGTAGCCTGTAGGCGTGTGGGTGAAGGCATGTGGGTAGCATGGCACGTGGGTACATAGTACATACCAACACACAGCCTGAGCAGCAGGGAGCTGCATGCAGCAGGCACGGGCAGAGTGGCATCGGCACATAGACATGAAACCCCCCCAGTGAGGGGGTGGGCGCCCTGTTAACCCTTGACTACTGCAGAGCAACATCCGAATTCGCCTTCTGTGTTAACACTCGCTGCTGCCTTCCTTCCCCCGTCCCACCTTTCACAAACCGCCAGGGCTAGGCATGAGCAGAATACCGAACCGCGGTTCCGATCAACGTGGTTCGGTTCGTTGCGAACCGAACCTCGGCCTTGTTTTTTTCATAAGGTTCGCAACGGGCCGAACCGGTTTGTCATCGATCCGGTTCGGCGGTTCGGCCGGTTCGGTTATTTGTTGTTATCTAGGGGCAAAGAGGGGCGGGGAGGGGTTACGAGGGGCGAGAAGGGGCGAAAATAGTTGGTTCGGTTCGGTCCGAACCTCGAACCGGCCTGAGGTCAGAACAGTTCGGAATGAACCAGTTCACTTCATCAACAAACCGGTTCGGTGAATGAGCTAAAGGACCCGAACCGGTTCGGTTTGGTAATTTGCTCATGCCTAGCCAGGGCAATGGAGTGGCATCAGCACATGGACCCCCCCTTCAGGAGACGTCCTAACCACTCTCTCTCTACCGGCGGCCGTTCCAAGTGGCCAACAGCGCGTGTGCCACAGGGCTGTATGCCGTGCGCCTATGCGTTTCAAGGCACACATTTGCTGAAAACATGTCTAATACCCGATGCGGTGATTTCTCAGCATCACACCTTTCCCTCAACCCTCCCCACCTCTCACAACTCCCGGACACCCCCCTCAGGAAACGCCCTGCCCACCTCCTACTACAGCAGCAGGGTGACACCGCACAACAGGCCTTCTACGTAACACATCCTTTCCCACCCGTCTCCACCATCTCTCATCCACCCGTTTCAAAACACCAGGGCGGTGGAGTGGCATCAGCACATGGACACCTCTCTCAGGAGACGCGCTCCCCACCTTCTACTACCGGCGGCCGTTCCGAGTGGCCAACAGCGCGTGTGCCACAGGGCTGTATGTGGATGTGATAGTCAACGACGGCGTGCTGCTGTACCTGAATGGGGTGGAGATGCTGCGAGTCAACATGGCTCCTGGAGCAGTCAATGTGTCATCCAGGGTGAGTGGGATGCACGGGCTGCGTGTGCCGAGTGGCCAACAGCGGGTGTGCCACAGGGCTGTATGTGGACGTGATAGTGAACGACGACGTACTTCTCTATCTGAACGGTGTCGAAATGCTGCGAGTCAACATGGCTCCTGGCGCTGTTAACGTGTCTTCTAGGGTGAGACTATAATGAGACAGAGTGTTGGTGAGTGAGACTGTAACAAAACAGTGTGCTTAGAGTGAAATGATCACGATACAGTGCGATGGGTGAAGACATAGCGTGGTGCAGAACGTGTGGGACTACACGTCCTTCTTCATCCCTCTCAACGCCACGGCGCGCTTCTCCTTCCCTTCTTTCCCTCATTCCCCCTCATTCCGCCTCTCCTTCCTCACACACACCGTCCTCACCCCCCACAGGCCTTGTCCAACCTGAACGTGTGGGACTACACGTCCTTCTTCATCCCTCTTAACGCCACGGCTCCATTCTCTCTGGCCGAGGGCACCAACCACATCGCGGCAGAATCACACGCCGCCATCTGGACCACCGAGAACTTCTTTGACCTCAAGCTGTCCGCTCAGATGGAGTGAGTTTTTTGGTGAAAGCCTTTAGTCTGCCTCAACAGATAGAATGAGTGGTTGGTTGGTGGGAAGAGAGATTGGTATGGGGGATTGGGTGAGAAGAGTCTCAGGGTACCAACCAACCCCACTGCCGCAGAGTCCCAAACTGCCATCTGGATCACCGAGAACTTCTTTGACCTCAAACTGTCCGCTCAGATGGAGTGAGTTGCTTTACCACGAGTGATTGAATGCGTGTGCCAGAGATTGTATACCTTGGTAATTGCTACAACGTTGTTTTTAGCATGGTATAGGTTTGACCACCCTGGATGTTTGTTTTTTATTCCCTTTCTTCATTGGGCTGGTTTCTCAAGACCTCCCTCCACTCCACACATTCTGAATCAACTCAAAAGCCTCCTCACTCTCTGCTCTCTTCTTTCCCTTCCCCTCCACTCCCCACCGAGCAGTAGTGCAACATCCAGTGGAGTGCTGATTCTGCAGCTGACTTCAGTTCTCTCATGCTATTCACTCTCTTCTCCTCTCTTCTCCTCTCTTGTCGCTCTTCTCCTCTTCTCCCCACCGCGCAGTAGTGCAACATGCAGCGGAGTGCTGATACTGCAGGAGGTGTGCGATGGGCTCGACAACAACAACGACGGTGAGCAACGGTGCTGCATGGTGGTGCATGGTTGTGGATGGTGGTGCATGGTGGTGGGAGGATGCACGGATTGGTGAGGAGGATTGAACAATCACGAAACACACACACCCTCTGCCTCTCACCTGTCCCTGCTGTTGATGCCTGTCCCTCACATCATTGCCCACACCCCCATTTCACCCTTCTGCTGTCTTAACCTCTCCCAAACTGGATCTCTCCGCATCTTATCCCTTCCATGGTTCCTCATATCCTCCTCCTCCTCCTCCTCCTCCTCCCTCCCTCCCCTTCCCCTAACCCACAGGCAAGGTGGTCATCCTTCCGGGCTCACGGACCTGCTTCTCACCGGCCCCTGCCATCCATGTGTGCATGTCCCTTCCACGCCTCATCGCCACCCCCTTTTCCCTCCCCCCCCTACCCCCTTTTCCCTCCCCCCCCCCACCCTTCACCCCACAGGCAACGTGGTCATCGATCCACCAATTCATGGATTGGCTTCTCACCGACCATGTGAATTTTACTTTTGAGAATTCTCAGGGTTTAGGAATAACCTCCGCGGCTCCTCATACCCTCCCTTTCCCTCCCTCCCCACCCTTCACCCCACACCCACAGCCAACATTGACATTGATCCGCTCACCAATAGGCCTCTCACCCGCCCGTGCCATGCCACCCATGTGTGCACATGTCTTCCGTGGCTCATCAGAACCCCCCTAAACCCCTCCCCACCCTCCATCCCACAGGCAAGATCGACATTGATCCGCTCACTGATAGGCCTCTCACTTGCCCGTGCCATCATTCGAACTACCAATCTCACCCATCCCCCACACACCCGCCCCTCCACACCCGCCCCTGCCTTCACCCCACAGGCAAGATCAGCATTGATCCGCTCACTGATAGGCCTCTCACCCGCCCGTGTCGCAACCCGTGTGGGTCGGGAATAGAGACGTGCATTGACCACCCATCTCATCCGCCCCCCTCCCTACCTCCGTCCCTCCCTCCCCCTTCCCTTCAACCCACAGGCAAGATTGACATTGACCCACTAACCGATCGCCCACTCACGCGCCCGTGCCGCAACCCCTGTGGGTCGGGGATAGAGACGTGCATTGATGGGGCGTTCCAGAACTGCACTGCCCCCGTGCACGGGCCGGAAGTGTGAGTGGTGTGCGTGGGTGGTGAGGGGTGTGCGTGGGTTTATGCAAACGGGAAAGCGGGAGAGGGCTGGTGTGATGATGGAAGGAGACGTGCATCGTTGGGGCTTTCAGGCTTGCTGTTTGACGTTGCATGGCCTGGAATTGTGAGTGGTGCAGAGGAAGTGTGAGTGGTGTAGAGCACGTGTGAGTGGTGCAGAGGAGTGTGAGTCAGTGTTTAAAATGAAACAGGGTCCAGAATTCAAATACACTTTCTGCCATGACTATACCAATGAATCCTTTCCTTGATTGTTCAAGTCAGTCCTCTCCCTCCCCCCTCATCTTCCCCATTCCTCCACTCCTTTCCTCATATCCAAGACTCTCGAATCAACGTCTCCCTCTTCCCCCCCACACCACTCGTCCCGCTCTCCTCTCCCCTTCAGTGACGGCCTCATTGACTACTCGCCCTCTCCAGCCGCTCCACAGCTTGACTGCGCCGCCAATGGCTCCCTGTGCTTCAAGGGGCAGTGCATGCCGTGAAAGGTGTCATCCTCCTAACTCCCTCTCCCTCCGCCCTCATCTCTCACTCTCTATCCTCGCAGCTGCAACGGAGTGGACGACAACTGTGACGGCCTGATCGACAACTCGCCCTCCCCATCCGCCCCTCAGCTTGACTGTGCCAACGGCTCTCTCTGCTTCAAGGGGCAGTGCCTGCCGTACGGCCCTCTCACCACTCCGCTGACAGTGATCAACAAGAGCGCTGCTGGGTGGCTTTACTACGATAAGGGGTACCTGCCCCAGTCTTACCCCACCTGGAGCACCAACAGGTGAGCGTGAAACCATGACACAGGGTTTCTGGTTTAGGGTTTAGTGCTATCAACAAAAGCGCTGCTGGCTGGCTGTAGGTACCAATCAACCTTTCTCGTCTCACCTATTGTGCTGCCTGCTTAATTCGTCCCCTCAAGTTCTTTCTTTCTCCCAGCCTTCGTCCTCTGTTCCTTCCCATGCCTTTCTTCCCAACACCACACCTTTCCCCACCCCTACCCTCATCATCCCACGCCCCTCTGACCCCACAGCAAGCGCATCTGCTCAAGGGGGGCGTAGCGCCATTCGGCTTTAACTCAGCATCAGCCACCACCAACCAACCAACCTTTCCCATCCCGCCAGTGGCAGCTCTCAGCCAACTTGTTCGCTTAGGACGCGGCACCTGTTTTCATTTTGCCAGGATCGGGGCCTCACATCGATCCTGACACATCGATCGGCACACCGATGTGCCCACACTGAAAAATTGCAGTGGGGTAGACACATCGAGCTATAGGTGCCAGGATCGAAATTGCAGGATCGGGCAGGCTGAATATACCAACACACTGTAACGCGCAGCCAATCAGGGAAGAGCGTGGTTGGTCGCCCAGAAATTTCATTCGCAACGACTCGAGAATTTGTGCCCTGCGACCATGGGCGACGCCGATCGATCGCGGCTGTCACCTGTGGCTCGATGTGCTCTACCGCCAAACCAAAAGCACGATCGATGTGTGCATCGCGGCACATCGAACGTGCGAGCTGCAGGTGCCACCAATTCGGGTACCCGTGTACTGTACATTTATGAATTTATGCGATAAATGGATACCACACATTGACGATGTCCCCAATGCACTGTATAAGCGGCACATCGATCCCCTCCTACGATCGATCCTGGAAAAATGAAAACAGGTGCCGCGTCCTTAGAGCCCTCTCGCCCAACCCACGTCTTCCTGTGCCTGCTCCTCGTCTGACCCACTCTCCCCTGCGCCCCTGCACACCTCTGCCCCTCACAGCAACGTGCCAGCGCGCCTGCTCAAGGTTGGAGCAGCACCGTTCGGGTTCAACTCAGCATCCCCCATGGCCACCAACCTCTCGCAGCTCACCAGTGGCAGCACCGTTTGGCTTCAACTCAGCGACAGCCACGGTCACGAACCTCTCACAGCTCACTCATTGTCCTGCCTACTTGCCCCTCCCTTACCCACCTCTTCCCACCCCCTTCCCTCCGCAACAGCAATGTGCCAGCTCGCTTACTCAAGGAGGGGGCAGCACCGTTCGGGTTCAACTCAGCATCACCCACGGCCACCAACCTCTCGCAGCTCACCAGTGGCGACTCCGCCTACTTCTTCCTCAAGAGTTTCTCCCTCACGGAGGAGGAGGTCAACACCACCTGGAGCTACTGTGAGTCGCAATCACTGGGTCCCTCGTGATAGAAATTGAGCTTGAATGAATTGACTAGAATAAAAGGCACTAGGCCTTAAGTACAAACAAGGCTGGGCTGAGCAAAGCTAGGGAAAGGATGGGATGGGAATCCCAGCAAATCTCCAATTGGTGAGTTGGCAGATTTGCAGGATTACGGGGGAATAGGGTTGGGATTACAAATCTACACCCAACCCACAAATAACATACAGCATATAAAATAGAGTACACAAAGTGTTGACAGCTTATTTCTAACACCTCCTTCCTCTTCTCCACTCTCTAACACTCGTTTTCTCCTCTAGAGGCCTCCCTAACTTGTGACTCCGCCTACTTCTTTCTCAAGAGCTTCTCCCTCACAGAGGAGGAGGTCAACACCACCTGGAGCTACTGTGAGTTGCAATCCCTTCCTCCTCCTGCGCCTACACTTTACTCTACGCCACTCCACCCGTGGGAGGGACAAATGTTGCAGTGTATGTTTTTTTAGAATTCTCAAAAAACATACACTCCTCCTGCGCCTACACTTTACTCTACGCCACTCCACTCTCCTCTCCTTATCGAGTGCCTCTCTAACCCGCACCTCTTTTCCTTTTCCTATCCCTCCACCCACGTCCTGCTAATACCACCATATCGTACGTGCATGCCTCCCACCGCCGCGTCCATTCAGAGGGACAATGGAGCCATCGTAGGCTGTCTATGCATCCCTTGCACCCAAGCTTTTCCTTCCCCACCCCATACAGCTGCGTCCATCCAGAGGGACGACGGTGCTGTGCTCTTGATGAACGGAGGCGAGTTTTTCCGCACCAACATTCCTTCTGGCCCCACCGCCACTGCCTTCACCTCCACACCGCTCTCCACCACCTCATATCACGTTACCCGCATCCCCTGCATCCATCCCATCCCTTCCCTCTCCCCACACAGCCGCGTCCATCCAGAGGGATGATGGGGCAGTGCTGCTGATGAACGAAGCCGAGTTCTTCCGCATCAACATGCCTGCTGGGCCTGTTACCTCCGCCTCCTCCTCTAAGTCCTCATACCACCTCATCCGTATCCCTCCCCGTCCCCCCCGTCCCTCACCCTCAACAGCCGCATCTATCCAGAGGGACGATGGGGCTGTCCTCTTGATGAACGGGGCCGAGTTTTTTCCGCACCAACATGCCTGCTGGCCCTGTTACCTCCGCTACCTTTGCTGCAACCGGCACGTGGGGGCCGACAAGACTGCATTCTTCAACAGCACGCCCTTCCGCTCCATCGCACAATTCCTGCAGGTAGTACCTTCCCTTGGATGATGCCTGCCTCAGGTAATACCTCCTATGGGCAGTAACTCTGTTGCTGCTCCATTGCGCAGTTCTTGCAGGTAATATGTTGGGCATGTTAGGGTATCGGGTTTAAACGCGTTGGTGAAACCCTGCCTAGTCAAGCGATGCCCTTGCTCCCCCTACCCGTTTTGATAAATCTCAATAGTACCATACACCATCCCATCCCCCACTTCTTCCCCCCACCAGCCGGGCACCAACTGGGTGGGAGTGCAGCTTCATCAGTCGCGCTGGTCAAGCGATGCTCTCTTTGATATCGAACTCACCCGCCACGCCATGCGCCCCTGCTCCGCGCTGGAGGGCTCTCCCGCGGCCTGCGTGCGCACACCCCCGGCTGACACTCTCCTGCTCGCGGTGAGATGCTCACACACATAGGATCGACTCGCTTGTGCCATGTGCCATACGCCATGTGCCATACGCTATGTGCCATGTGCCATGTGCCATACGTCATGTGCCATGTGCCATGTGCCATGCGCCATGTGCCATGTGCAATGCGCCATATGCCATGTGCCATGTGCCATACGCCATGTGCCATGTGCCATACGCCATGTGCCATACGCCATGTGCCATACGCCATGTGCCATACGCCATGTGCCATACGCCATGTGCCATGTGCAATGCGCCATGTGCCATACACCATGTGCCATGCGCCATGTGCCATGCGCCATGTGCCATGCCCCATGAGTCATGCGTGCCATACGCCATGTGCCATCTCCCAGGTCCCATGCTCTCACACCCTCTCTTCTCTCCAACCCAACCCTTACTCCTATCCCATGCGTGCCAGACGCCATGTCCCATCCCCTGTCTTCCGATTTCTTCCCGTTTCTTCCCCTCCCTCCCCCTCCCTTCCTCTCCCTCCCTCCTCCCTTCGTCTCCCTCCCTCCTCCCTTCCCCTCCCTCCCTCCTCCCTTCCTCTCCCTCCCTCCTCCCTTCCTCTCCCTCCCTCCTCCCTTCCTCTCCCTCCCTCCTCCCTTCGTCTCCCTCCCTCCTCCCTTCCCCTCCCTCCCTCCTCCCTTCCCCTCCCTCCCTCCTCCCTTCCTCTCCCCCTCCCTCCTCCCTTCCTCTCCCTCCTCCTCCCTTCCTCTCCCTCCCTCCTCCCTCCCTCCTCCCTCCCTCCTCTCCCTCCCCTCCCTTCCCCTCCCTCCCTCCTCCCTTCCCCTCCCTCCCTCCTCCCTTCCTCTCCCTCCCTCCTCCCTTCCTCTCCCTCCCTCCTCCCTTCCTCTCCCTCCCTCCTCCCTTCCTCTCCCTCCCTCCTCCCTTCCCTCCCTCCCTCCTCCCTTCCCCTCCCTCCTCCTCCCTTCCCTCCTTCCCCCTCCCTTCCTCTCCCTCCCTCCTCCCTCCCCTCCTTCCCCCTCCCTTCCTCTCCCTGTCCCTTCCTCCCTCCCTCCATCCATGCAGCAAGGGTCAACATGGGCCTACAACGATGCCTCCCAGCCACCGCCCAACCCTGACACGTGGTTCCTGCCCTCCTTTGATGACTCTGCATGGCTCAAAGGTGCGTCTTGCTGGGCGTGTTGCTGGGCTCAAAGGGGAGTTGTTCGTATGGCGCTAAGGGTGCCTCCCTTCCAGCCCCCTGCCACCGACCAACCCTGACACCTGGTTCCTGCCCTCCTTTGACGACTCTGCATGGCTCAAAGGTGCGTCTCGATGAGCAGCAACTTGCACCGTTCATGCTGCGTGCCGCCTCCCTCACTCCCTGCATGTGCTCCTGACACCTGGTTCCTGCCCTCCTTTGATGACTCTGCATGGCTCAAAGGTGCGGCTTGCTGGGCCGAGAGCACTGAGATGAGGGGGGGCTGCTGCTGTGGTGCCAAGGGTGCCTCCCTGCCAGCGCCACCCCCTAACACCTGGTACCTTCCCCCGTATGCACCCTACCATTCTTCAACCATACTGCTTTCCTCGTGTGTCTCACTGCTTCCGTCCTCCCCTCCCCCTTCCCCAACCAGGTCCCGCGCCCCTAGCAGCGGGCAACAGCAGGGCAGCCACCAACCTCACCCTCAACAGCACCACCAGCGGCTCACGAGTGGCGCACTATTTCCGCCGCGCCTTCACTGTCACCGATGCTGCCTGCCACGTGGCACTCACCGTCTCCTTCAACATTGCTGACGGCGCTGTGAGTGCTTGCTCAGATGATTGAGTGCATGAGGGTGCATGGGTGTGCCACCAGCTGCCCACACTTCTTTCCGCCGCGCCTTCACTGTCACCGATGCTGCCTGCCACGTGGCCCTCACCATCTCCTTCAACATCGCTGACGGAGCGGTGAGTGCTCGCACTAGAGAGTGTGTGGATGTGCTCTCAGCCATGCCATTAGCTGCTCTGTTCCTCTGTAACCATATCTGTCCTGCCTGTCACGTGGCCCACACCATCTCCCTCAACATTGTTGATGGCACTGTGAGTGCTCAGTGCTCGCATGGTTGAGTGAGGCTGCATGGGTGTGCCTCTAGCTGCCCTCTCCGGCACAAGCTGCCCATACCTGTGCCCTCCTGTTGCCTTCACTGTCACCGATGCTGCATGCCACGTAGCCATCAGTGTCTCCCTCAACATCGCTGATGGCACTGTGAGTGCTCGCGTCAGTGCTTACGTCAGTGTTCGCGTCATTGCTCGCGTCAGTGCTCGCGTCAGTGCTCGCGTCAGTGCTCGCGTCAGTGCTCGCATCAGGGTGTATGGGTGTGCTTTCATCTGTGCGAGGGTTAGGGTTCAGTTTTTTTTTCCACCTGCTTTTTGAGACGTCTCAAAAATCATTCCCCTCCCACCCACTTCCCCCCCTGCCTTCACCCAATGCAGGTGGTGTACCTCAATGGAATCGAGGCATACCGTTTCCAGATGCCTCCCCCCTCATGGGGCCCGGTCACGCCGGCCACCACCGCAACGGGCGGCTATGTGTGGCGGTGGGTGCCGTCCGTTCTGTCGGGCGGGTGGCTGCAGCAGGGGGCGAATGTGATAGCGGTGGAGGTGCATCAACAGAAGAGCTCCAACACTCTGCTCACGTTCGACGTGCAGGTTACCAGTAAGCGGGAGGCCATAGCATGCACTCCTGCCCCGCAGTAAGGTGGTATTGTGATTTCTCAAAACCGGCCTACAAAGAGAAGGGCTGCAGCAGGGGGCGAATGTGAACGTGATGAGATAGCAGTGGAGGTGCAGTGCATCAGCAGAAGAGCTCTAATACTTGAGTCATGTTTGACGTGCAGGGTAAAAGCAACAAAGAGGCCATTGCATGCACTCCTGCCCCGCTGTAGGCTATGATGCCATGATGATAATGCTCATGCTGTGACGCTACTGTAGAAATGCTACAATGTTCATGTTGTACAATAGATGTAATATACTACTAGGATAGGTCATTTCATTTGTTTGTGGTTGCAAATAATAGAGCTCATGAATATGTTTTCGGATTTTTAGTTTGCAAAAAAGAGGGCCCTACCACCAGCTGTGTCTCACAACGTGTTACCCTCCACGGCATACTGTCACTCTCAAGCTAGCTATGAGGGTGTAAGGCTCATGCTTATTTGGCATGGGAAACATCTGCTTGTGAAACTACTTTCACCTCCAGTTTGCTGGCTCATGCTATTTGGCATTAGTTGCGGACAGTCTCGAGAGCTCATCTGCATGGAGTGTGGTGGGGAATAGGATGTATACAAAGAGGGAAGGGCATATCAGTACTTACATAGGACGGCAAGGAAACAGAGATGCACCATGGAGTGGAGATTAACAGAAGGCCGAAAGAGGCGTGCCAAGCTGGAAAAACGGAAAAGGTACAGGCAGGATCTGAACCACCATCTCTAGTTTTTCCTGCCTTGCTTCTTCTCCTTGAGTGTACTGCTGTCGGTGAGGAAGAAGATACCACCACGCTTCTGATAAGCAGTCTGCGAAAACATAGCACCACCATTCTTATTAACAGTCTGCGGGTAGTAGGGGAGACTAAAAGGGAATAGCAGCCTAATCAGTCAGTATGAAAGCAAACGGGGTCTGACCCATTCTGTTGGCGACTTCTATTTGTATAAACAATAAGATCGAACGACTTCTGAGGCGCCTCAAAAGCCATTCCATTGATAATTTCCATTTTCATGAAGGGTGCAGAGCTGCAGCATAACGGGACAAGGGGACGCACCCGCCCAGAGGGCAAGGACGAGAGCTCAGCACAAGCCACCTGCAGTTCCTGCACCTGGTATTCATACAGAAAGTATTTATATGAAGGGTATTCAAACGGAGGGTATTCATAAAGAGGGTATTCACACAGAGGGTATTCATACAGAGGGTATTCATAAGGAACTTATCTTCTGTATAGATTGAAGCAGCATTGGGAACTGAGCGGAGCAGATCTAGAAAAGGCTTGTTCATGAAAACGCACAAACACAGCGAAAATAGCAGAAGCAGGGAGTAGAGCAGCGGTAAATAGGTAACACGTGCCTTCACATTCTGCTCCTTCTGACGTTGTGGGGTGCTTGCCATTATGAGAAGCGAGGATGGATTGGCAGAATCTCGCAAACCCTCAGAGGGAGGTCTGCGGCTACTAATGGTTTCTGCTCACTATTGAAAGGCGGGTTAGAATGAAATGCAACAGAAAGAAGGGAAAAGTAAAGACTGGACGCCCACAGGAATCCACGTGCACTGTGAGAACCCCTAAGGAAAGGGAATAATCACCGACCACTGAATTACTGATATCATGTCATACCATAGATACAGCATAATGGCTAATGGCTATTCACCCTCCTTCAGTAATAGTCTGCATCATAAGCTGATGGAAGGGAGGTGATGGAGGAGCGAGGTGATGGTGGGTGGCTGGTTGGGCTGCACGGTGGGTGGGTGGTTGGAAGTTCCAAAACAATGAAGCATGTGCTTAAAAGGAGATAAGAGTTATATACAGATGGCCCAAACCGAAATGAGCAGCAAGAGGCAACCCTTCACAAGGAGGGAAAGAGAGCTCACAAGTCCTTCAGCCTTGGCAGTGATGTTGGCACTTAAAACACTGCAATGAACAGTGGGGAGAATGAGGCAGGGCGAAGGGCAGTGGAACAGTGAGGGAAAAACAGTGGAACAGTGGGGGAAGGGCAGTGGAACAGCGGGGGAAGGGCAGTGGAACAGCGGGGGAAGGGCAGTGGAACAGCGGGGGAAGGGCAGTGGAACAGTGACGGAAAAGCAGTGGAACAGTGGGGGAAGGGCAGTGGAATAGCGGGGGAAGGGCAGTGGAACAGCGGGGGAAGGGCAGTGGAACAGTGACGGAAAAGCAGTGGAACAGTGACGGAAAAGCAGTGGAACAGCGGGGGAAGGGCAGTGGAACAGTGACGGAAAAGCAGTGGAACCGTGGGGGAAGGGCAGTAGAACAGTGAGGGAAGAGAAGTGGAACAGTGGGCGAAGGGCAGCGGAACAGTGAGGGAAGAGCAGTGGAACAGTGGGGGGAACGGCAGTGGAATAGCGGGGGAAGGGCAGTGGAACAGCGGGGGAAGGGCAGTGGAACAGTGACGGAAAAGCAGTGGAACAGTGACGGAAAAGCAGTGGAACAGCGGGGGAAGGGCAGTGGAACAGTGACGGAAAAGCAGTGGAACCGTGGGGGAAGGGCAGTAGAACAGTGAGGGAAGAGAAGTGGAACAGTGGGCGAAGGGCAGCGGAACAGTGAGGGAAGAGCAGTGGAACAGTGGGGGGAACGGCAGTGTAAGATTGAGGGATGGGGAGTAGTGGGGGTAAGGGGAGCTCGTGCAGTGGGATTGCATACGTTAGGGAAGGGGGGTTGAGGGATGTGCATTAAAGGCGAGAACGGATGGACAGCAGGAGATTTTTGAGAGTTCTCAGAGACGCGACTCAAAAGAACTACTTCACACAAAACCCGCAGCCACGAATTGACTCCAAGGCACCTACTCGGTGCTCCGTCGTATGCGGAGGTGCGCTGGACAGCAGGAAACGAGATCGGAACTTCTTTCAAGCCGCCTTAGAAAAAGAATTATCCTAAACAGGTACGTGGAGCCAATATGGCTCGACGGCTCGCAGCGGCGGATTTCCCACTCCAGTAAAATGCGTATGGGCAATCGCCTAAGTCACGCTCAACGCGTGAGTGCCGTGAGTGTACTCACTCGCGCGTTCCGTCTTTCTTTGTTTCGGTGGTGTTCCTAAAAACTCGACACCCCAGTGTTTGGTTGCGCGAGACTCGTCAGGGCTCATCAACCCTAAGATTTCGACCTGAGCTAGTAATTGTGTTCCAGATTGCCAGAGAGACTCTCGATGCTCAAGCGCGCCGCGCCCTACCCGCTAGCCATGGATTGGCAGTGCTGACTGTTGGTGTTTTGCTTCTTGTCGCGGCGATAACCTTCCCACTGTCGCAAGTCGCACGACATTGTGCGAACTTCGTGAGATGGGCTGAACGAAAGTGTCAGTAACCAGAGTCAAAATCCTTTTCGTTTCGCAACACGCGTCCAACATTTTCGACACTTCACAAATTCGCGAACCAATCGCGTCTGTCTGAAGCATGTTCCAACCCTCGAAACTTGAGAGGGATTACCCACAAGCCCATGATCCCAGATTCACGAGCCACCATTTCAAGCGAGTCACGGTGCAGTGCTAGCGCGTACGAAACTCTTAGTTGATTCGGCATATTCTACATTCCAGTAGATTCGAGATTTTCTGAAGCCATGGGCCGGTTCGCGTGGATTCTCATTGCGCTCGTCGCCCTCATATCAGCGTCGCCCACGTCGGCGCTGGTATTCACGCTGCTGAAGCGCGAGTGCTTCCAGCATTTCGTGCCGAAAGGCGGCGAGACCGTCCACGTGTCGTTTGTCGTGATCAAATCGGATTACAACTGGGGAGGAGTCGAGCAGGCGAAAATCGATTTAACGGTAAACAGCCACTAAGAACTGCTTAAGAAGGTCGCATATTCTCATCCATTCTCCCAGAAAGTATCGACTCCTCCAAACAAGTCCCGAAGCCCTCTTTCGGAGCGAGGCTTTCTAGGTGTTCGCGTCGTGCACACACACGGCAGGTCTTTTGAGATTTTTCATATTCTTAGGTTACGCTCATCGTGCACACACGCGTCAGGTGGAAGCCGTTCGGGCATGTGTTCCTCCCTGATCCGTTCAAATCCTCACGTGGAGGACCCGAGGGGACACGCGGCTCGAGTCCTTGCTGCTGGTCGCGTGCTCAAACCACCAGGTGGAGTCCCCAAGGGCCACGAGGTGCGGAAGGTAGAGGCGAGGAGGCAGCGTAAGGGCGAATTGAGCTCGCCGTTTTGTTCACCCTCCTCCCTCTCCTCCCTCTTCCCCGCCTCCTTCGTGAATCCTACCACCCAAAGTGGAGGATACCAGGGGGCACGAGGTACGGAAGGTGGAGGCGAGGACGAGAAACTGTTGTTTTAGAAACAATACTCCCCTTCGGCGCTTCCCCATTTTCTCAATCACCCTCCCCCGTGAATTCGACGAGCAGGTGGAGGACCCCAGGGGCCATGTGCTGCGCAAGATAGAGGCGAGGACAGACGACAACTTCATGTTCACCGCCGCAGTTGACGGATTCTTCAAGTTCTGCTTTACGACGGACTCTGCTGTGCACGAATCCGTGGCGTTTGACGTGGAGAACGGCGTCCCACTCACCACTGAACACGTGGCAAAAAACGGTAAGCCAGGAACGCCACGATGGTCCATCAGCTCTTCTCCTGATGCTGGCTCTTTAGTCGCTGTGCAGTGCCTTGCCCATTTCTGCTGCTGGTTATCAGACTCGTATGGTGGCCCTCCGCTCTCTGTCCAAAAATCCATTACATCTCCTCCCCTCTCTCTTCCTTTGCTCTCTGGTGTTGGCTTCTCTGCTTTATCGAATGTGGCTGTTTAGTTGCTTTGCACTCCGCCCCATTCCATTGCCATGACCGTTATGCCAATTCCTGTTTTCCATTCTTGCAGACTACTGTAACTGGCTTTTCGCTGTGTATGTGCGCTCATCTGCATTTATCTGCATGTGCGCTCATCTGCATTCATCTGCATGTGCATGCGAGCAGACCAGATCGAACCACTGGTGAAGGAGGTGCACCGGCTGCATAGAGAGGTGATGCGCACCAAGCACGAAATTCACTACTCTTTCTACCTCGCTGAACAGCATGCAGAAGGTGAGAGCAGCATGGCAAGGTGGGAGTTAATAGCATATGCTGCCTTGATTGCAGAACTAGGAGGGAGGTGATGCGCACCAAGCACGAGATCCACTACTCCTACCTCGCTGAACAGCACGCAGAAGGTGAGAACAGATGGGGTTCATAGTAGTAAGGGTTACCTTGAGAATAGATAGACCTACCTGATTGCAGCAGCAGGAGGGAGGTTAGTGTAGTCACGCGTTGCATCATGCAAATGTTCCTACTGCTGCAGCGTCCATCTGTTTCATTTACGCGAAACTCCGTGTGCCCTCCTACCCTCCCTCCTCCCCACCTTTCCCCCCTCCAGTGGACAAGTGGACAGCACAGGGAGTTCTCACCACAGCAGCTGCCACAGGCAGGCGTCATGACTTGTGCTCTATGTGTGCTCCCCTACCCTCCCACATCACCACCCCTCCCTTTGCCAGTGGACAAGTGGACGGCACAGAGAGATCTCGCCAAGGCAGTGCTGCAGGCGGGTGTACTCATAACCTGTGGCATCATACAGGTGTGCCTGCTGCAGCGGCTATCATTTTTTGTCGACTCAAAAGTCTCTATGACCCCCGACCTTGCCGCTCCCCCTTCCCCATCAGTGGACAAGTGGACGGCACAGAGAGATCTCGCCAAGGCAGTTGTAAGACTCAACTTGCTTGACATGTGCTCTCTGTGTCCCCCCACCCTGCCCCCTTCCCCCCCGTTCCCCCCTCCAGTGGACAAGTGGACGGCACAGAGAGTTCTTGCCAAGGCAGTGCTGCAGGCGGGTGCACTCATAACCTGTGGCATCATCCAGGTGTGCCTGCTGCAACGGCTCTTTGAAAAGAGGCTCAAGATGAGCCGTGTGTAACCCAGGCCCCAGACTCGCTGGATGAGTGGCAAGGCATGAGGACGAGAAGGGGAAAGTGAATTTCAGTAAGCCACCTTTGCAGTGGTGTTGAGTGGAAAGGCACGAGGAGTAGAAGGGGAGGTGGGAGCGGGAGAAGTAGGAGGGGAGGAGGGGGTGTTGGGGTATCTTAAGGCCTGGAGATGAGGTGGTGATGACAAGAATGAGAGGAGCTAAGGACCAATTCGCTTGCTGCTGCGGTTGTGGGAATTTTGGAGCTACTGTCTTTGCTGTTGATGTTCCAGCACAGCAATGGGGCTAAAGGAGATTGAAGATGCGGCAGTGTGCAGTAATCAGCAGAATCACAACACAAGTCTTCAATGTGTAGGGTTATTATAAGGTCATACACTAGAAAATTGCTATCAATCAAAGTCCGGTTTTCCATGTGCAGGTTAGACCCATCAAAGGGTTGTTTGGGATGTGCTGAAAGAGTTCTCCTTCACCTGGTCATATCAGCCACAAAACTGTAAGAACTCTCAAGTATAATATGGTAGCACAGCATTCACTCTCAAGCACTATATTGAAGAGAAGACATACATGAATGAGCCTACACAAGATACAACTATAGTGTCTACCAGCACCAGCCCAGAGCCATCCCTTAGGGAGCGTTCCAGGCCAGAGCCATCCCTTGGGGAGCGCTCCAGGCCAGAGCCATCCCTTGGGGAGCGCTCCAGGCCCCTCAAGAGCGTCCTGGGCTTGATGCCAACCTGGACGGGAGGAACTCAAAGCATAGCCATAGCTGAATGGCAGCAGATGATCACCCTTCCACCCCCACCAGTTTCCCAACCCACTCTCCCGAACACCCTGACAAGCAGGGCGCAAAAATGGGACCCACCATCATCCCACTTCCCCAACCTCCCAACCACCTCTCCACTGCTGCAATCTGCTCAAGGCTCTGCTTCTGTGCTCTCCACCTTCATCCCGCGGGAGTATGCCCTTGCTTCTTCTCAAATGACCTTTTTTTTGTTTGTTTAACATTTTTTTCACTGTTTTTTTTTTTTTGAATGTTTTTTTTCCTTTTCTTTTCTTTTTTCTTAAACCCATGAAGAATTGATGTCCCCGTTCCCACTCTCATATCCACCCTGAGCTTGCAGCGATCCAAAGCGGCGCTTACGGCCGCCACGGACGACGTGAGCTCGCAGCCAGCCCCAGCTTGGACGACGATCCGGCACGAAGCTTCCTTGCAGCCGTAGGGATGACAACAGACGCTCGCTCCTCCTGCTGCTTCGTGTCGTTGGAACACCATCTGCCTCGCACCTGCCTCTCAGCTGCAGCGGCTCCTGCGGGTCGCGGAAACAACGTCGTTCCCTCCTCGCGGCTTTTCAAGATCGCTCTCTGAACGCTTAGTTTCGGGATGCGAGACGGCAGTAGGTGTGACGTAGGTACCGAGCTTGTCGTTGCCTTCCCCAAGCCAGCTGCTACGGCAGTCAGGGAATCTTCAGCCTGCCGTAGCGATGTTGCAGATTGAGATATCGCCGGTTCCGACATCACCGGCTCGGTTGTCACTGACTCCGACATCACCTGCTCCGAAGTTACTGGTTCTGACGTCATCGATTCGGACATCACTGATTTCGACGTCACAGAAAGTACAGGCGCCACGGGATCTGACATTTTCCGATCTGAAATCGACGGATCTGAGCATGTCGAAGCGAACGCCGTCGGATTCGATGTCGCTGGATCGTCTGACATTCCTAGCAGCGGCGCTGTAGCAGCGATAAGACTGGCTCTAGAGC